AATTCAATATCGGGTTATTAATGATGAAACACTTAGTAGACTTAAAAATGAGATATCTTTGATCAACTGGGATAATTATGATGAATCTCCTTGTATTAACACTGCTTACAATTCATTTTTAGATATTTTATCCAGAACATATAACAGATGTCTTCCTATTAAAAATAAAATAATTAAAACGTATAATGATAACAATAAACCATGGATAACTTTAGGGATAATAATTTCAGCCAAATATAAAAACAAACTGTACACCAAATATAAGAAAAATCCAACTTTGCAGAATAAGACAGTTTACACTAAGTATAAAAATAAATTAAATCATGTTATCAGAAATGCAGAAAAGATGTTTTATAAAAATAAATTTGAAGAGAGCAAAGGTAATATAAAGAAATCTTGGAATATTATTAATAGCATTTTAAAAAGAAAACCAATTAATTCAAATACAAATTCCTCATTTGATCTTGGTGAACGGAAAACAACTAATGGTGAAGAGATAGCAGAACATTTTAATCACTTCTTTAGCACAATTGGTAAAAAACTTGCTGATCGTATTAAGACTAACACTGACCCAATGATTAACATGAGAAAAATGAATCAAAATTTAAACTCTCTGTTCATTACCCCAGTTACAATAAATGATGTCACAACAGGAATTAAATTACTAAAGGATTCTGCAGCTTCAATTGACGATATAAAACCAATAGTTATAAAATCGCTTCATGAATTTCTAGCAGCACCACTTGCACAAATTTTCAATTTATCAATTTCTACAGGTAAATTTCCAGATGCACTTAAAATTGCTAGAGTTATCGCAGTATTTAAAAAGGGACTTAAAGATAAATTCACTAACTACAGACCAATTTCTATTTTGAGTGTTTTTGCGAAAATGTTAGAAAAACTTATTCATGATAAGGTAATGGTATTCTTAGAAAAATATGAATTACTCTATTTACAGCAATATGGCTTCCGAAAAAAACATTCCACATATATGGCTCTTTTAAATTTTATTGAAAACATAAGAACAGGTTTAGACAAATCGGAAACAAGCATTGGAATATATATTGATTTAACAAAAGCCTTTGATACCGTGGATCATAATATACTGTTGAATAAACTTGAATTTTATGGAATTAGAGGAACCCCACTTTCTTGGTTTAAAAGTTATCTTGAAAATAGGAAAATCATTACAGAATATACAATACATGATTTTGAAATTGACCCAAGTACTATAACTGATATGAAATATCAATCATCTGCTTCTAATATTGAATATGGAATTCCACAAGGCTCTGTTTTGGGGCCCCTCTTATTCATTATTTTCATAAATGACATATATTTAACATCAGATAAATTAAAATTTGTCCTATATGCAGATGACACAAATATTTTATTGACTGATGATAACATTGATAATTTAGAAAATGATATAAATGAGGAATTGAAGAAGGTTCATGATTGGATGACATCTAACAGATTAACACTCAATGTAGAAAAAACAAAATTTATGATTTTTGACATAAAAAGAATCAACAAAATTGACAACTTTGAAGTAAAATTAAATAATCAATCAATAGAAAGGGTAAATAATATTAATTTTCTAGGAGTAATTATTGACTCCAAGTTAACATGGGCTGCTCACATAAATGCACTTTGTACCAAAATTTCAAATTTAATTCGATTAATATATAAAACTAGACACAAACTAACTTTGAATGCCTTGCTGACAACCTATTATTCTTTAGTATATTCATATATAAGTTATGGAAACATTTTATGGGGCAATGCAACAAAAAATCACTTAAACAGACTATTTATTTTGCAAAAGAAATTTCTAAGAATAATGACAAATTCTGAAAGAACTGCTCATTCAAGTCCCATCTTCAAAAAGTTCAAAATATTAAATATTTTTGACATTAATAAATTTCAAACGCTCACTTTTGTGCAGAAAACTGTAACAGAATCTGTAGACTTTCCGTTTCATAATTTTAAACATTTTTTTCAAGAGAGAACAGATATACACACCCATGATACTAGATACAAATATAATTTAACAATCAAAAGGTTTAGAACTGAAACTGGTCGAAAATCAATTGCGATTAGAGGAGCAATACTGTATAACTCACTGGCTAAAGACTTCAAAAAGGCAAAATATATAAAGAAATTTGAAAAACTGATAAAGAATGATCTTATCAGTAAATACCAATGATAATCTGTGCTTCCATTTTTCTCTTTCATTTTGATTCATTTAGCTTTTGATCTATGACTAAAACATTACTTTTAAATATTATGTCCCATGGAATATATACGCCCCTTGGGGTGTCTTTTTCATGTAATTGATGAAATGTTGTATGATGTAATTTTGAATGAATAAATTGAATTGAATTGAAATTAAAGCATGGCACACTGTCTTTTGACACTTTAGCTTTTAGGTGGCCATTTTGAAAATGGCCAACATTTTATATGTGTCATTTATGTTTTTACGATAATACAAAATGTATGTAAAACTGTAATATTAATATGTTTTCAAGGTAAAAAAGTTTGATAAGACATTAATAAAGGTCAAAATGTGGATATTTAAGAAACACATGGCAGCCATTTTACAATTTTGCTATAACTTGAAAAGTAGTGGAGCGATTTTGTTCATATTTAATGTCTGATGACTTATAAGCATGGCACACTGTCTTTTGAAAATGGCCAACATTTTACACATATCATTCATGTGTTTTTTACTATAACGCGAAATGTAATAGAGCGACTTTGTTCATATTTGATGATTTGTAAGCATGTCATACTGTTTTAGGGCACTTTGGCTAGTACATGGCCTTTTTGAAAATGGCCGCCATTTTTATGTGTGTTATTTTACATTTTCCACTATAACTGAAAAAGTAAAAGAAAGATTTTGTATACATTCGATATGTGACTACTTATAAGCATGGTACACTGTTTATTGACGATTTTGCGCTGGCAAAAATTACTTTGTAAGATGCCAGAATTATCAATATAACTCTTCACTTTTGTTACGTAAATGAATTCAATTAAATACAAAAATGGCCTCATATCTTTGTTCACTAGTTACAGAGACAGATACAGTTCCCAATGTGCAGGGTGAATAAATAAGAACCAACATACAAATAAATCAATGATATGTCATTCATTTACATGGGAATACTGTACTTCTACTTATTTGGCAGATTTTCTGTTTTGAACATTAGGCAGCTACTTAATTTGGAGGACTTGCAATACTACAATGTGCCTAAAATTACAGAGGAATTTGGCAGCTACTTAATTTGGCTGATATTAACAATTTGGCGGATCTGCAAAATTAAAACGGCCACCAAATTGAGTAGAAGTACAGTTTGGTTGGCTGAATAATCATTTTTTGCACAGTGGGCCAAAAACGGTTCTGGACCAAGTTTTAGACATTTGAAAATTAAGCGCATAGGCCTGGTGCTGAATATGGCAAAGAAATGGAACATAGATGACTGCATTGATTTCATTAAAAATATGATCTTGTAGTCAATTGGATAATCGGGTGTACTGGGAGAGGCAGAGTAACGTTGGATGGAAGAATAGTTCTCTCTTAGACAGATTGCAGCTAATCTGTTTTGAAGTTATCAACCCTATAGAAAATATTAAACAATTGTTTGTTTTCAAAACATCAGTAATAGAAGGAATCCATTGTAAAGAATACTGTGGGTGTGTTTTAGTCCTGTTACTTCTTAAGGTTATTTTAATCACTTATCCATATATCGAATTACTTCTAGTCACTGCTTAGTGACATACCATAACAATCAACATGTTCTTAAAACTTCAAAGTCTACTTCCTAACATGAAGCAAATTTAAAATCTACTTGTAAAAGAATGGCATCAAGCTGAAACTATGTTAAATTGCATGAAAGAAAAAAGTGTGAATTGGACCACCTTGTATATCTGCTTTGGGTTTGTGAAAGTAAAATTAAACTGTAACATATTTGATTAAATGACAACCATCATGTTAGACTCTCCGTTACTAATAATATCACATTTACCCCCCTTGCCTCTCCAGAGCATAACAAAACTTGGAGAAAAGGTGATCAAAGTCAGAAATTCTTTCCTCCTGATAACCTTAGAAGAATTGTGATCTATTGTTGTGTCTTATGATGGTGGCGGTTTTGCGATAATTATTGGCCCTTTTACTCTGCACTTTTATTGACTTTGACTGAATGTTCCGTATTGTAGTATCTTCAACTGTTTTTGATGTCAAGAGTACAGGAAACCTTTTTCATTTAGTTTGTTCTTCAATAAGTATTTGTTATAGCTTCAGTGTGAATGAAATATCAAGCTGTTTTGTGGTTATGGACTGTGATATTAGTTTCTGAATGATGGAAAAGGGAATGTTAGACATTTTTTCTGTATGTTAAGTCATAGTTTTGGGTAGGGGATGTTAGACAGTTTGGCTGTATGTTAATTCATAGTTTTGGGTAGGGGATGTTAGACATTGTTTGGCTGTATGTTAAGTCATAGTTTGGGGTAGGGGATGTTAGACATTGTTTGACTGTATGTTAATTCATTGTTTAACTCATAATTTGTGGTAGGGGATGTTAGACATTGTTTGACTGTATGTTAAGTCATAGTTTGGGATGTTAACTCATAATTTGTGGTAGGGGATGTTAGACATTGTTAGACTGTATGTTAACTCATAATTTGGGGTAGGGGATGTTGGACATTGTTTGGCTCTATGTTTATTCATAGTTTAGGGTAGGGGATGTTAGACATTGTTTTGCTGTATGTTAATTCATAGTTTAACAAAAGACTTATACTTATTCCGTACAATGGTAACTCTATCCCATTTGATTATAATTTTTCTACCATGTATGCATTACAATGAGAATTTCACGCTATCTTTAACTTTTATGCCATAATGTTCAAGTTAGTGTTTTGCTTTATATTAAGAAATTTAAATATTGTGAGATGGGCAAGTAGAAAAGCCATTACAACCTAACTGCTTCTGTTTCCAGAAAGTACAACAGCTCAAATGGAAACAACGAACACTATACCATCAATGACTACGAGTTCCACCATAGAATCAACCATGAATACTAACATGGCTGAGTCCACAGTAAAGATAAATCTTACTTTATCTACTTCAGCACCTATCACCACAACTGTGGAACAGAAATATGCTACAAAACTAAATGCCATATACCTCATTACGACAAAACCACAAACTGAAGTCTATAAGAGGGCTAAGAAAATTGAGTATGAACCAGTAGAAGCAAAGGCTGCAGTGACTATAGGCTCAATTGGACTTATTTGTGTATTGATAGCTCTTCTAGGAGTATTTATAGGAGACTTAGGTGCATTTTATCAAAATTTTAAAACAATGCACCGTAATTTATTCGGAGTGAAACAAGTGAGTGCAGCAAAGGCTTCCCTGTCAACAATATATTAATATTATCAACACATAATATTAATAAATTATTAATCTACGCCATTATGTGGCTCCATACGATAAAGTTTAAACCGCTTCAGCTTATATTGTCTTAACCAATGTTATCAAAAGGTAATACAGCAAAACCTGTAGAAGTAGAACACCACTGTAAGTGGAACACTTTTTAGAGTCCTAAGACCGATTGACTTAATGCTAAATTAACCTCTGTATGTGGAATACCTCAAAAGTGGAACATTTTCTAGAGGTAGCAAAGATGTTCCACTTTGACAGGTTTTACTGTATATGAAACTTTCTTTTACATTTTAAAAAGAAAGTGGCTTTTGAAGGACTTGTTCGAGGAATCATGAATTTATTTAACACTAAATTTTAGAGCTCACACCTCAATGTTTACCATTCAAACCTTATGTGTCTTTTGTAGAAAAATAAGGAAAATTACTTGGTAAATAATTGAGGAGTTAAGAATTTTAAAATTTAGTTCTCTGAAACCAATGGTACAGTTATATTTAGAACATACAGTATTCTCCACAGGATTTTTTCAAAAGTGGGTGCAAAATTCTCAATTTCACAATTCAAACCAAATTTGGTCAAAATATGCACATTTTTATGATTTTTCTCATTTTCAAGAGAGTGCAAATGCAGGTGGGTGCTGTGCCCACTTGCTTTAATGCTTGGGAGATCACAGACATAATACATTCTTATTTTTAACCAAGTTAGACAATCAACATTTGTTTATTTTGAAAGTTTATTATATTTAGAAAAGATTGACATCGAAAAAGGTGTACATTTTTAATGTGCTAAAACATTTAAGTGACACATTAGATATGACATTTAATTATTGAAATAGTATGTAATTTGTTTAATTTTTACTACAATGGTGTGTAAAAAGATAATGTGTTTTGCAATGTAAAAGAGGAATATTTGATGATTTAAAAAAAATTTCAACTTTTTATTGAAAAATGGCATGAAATTTAAATATTTGAGAAATAACAAGCTGACAAACTATTTTCCCAAATTTTCAAAAAAATCTTTAAAATATTCATCAAAAACAAAATGAATGGTAACATATTTTCAAAGTTTACATGATTATTTGTAAGTGTTTGCTTTTGGTTCCCTGTTGTCAATTGTCACTATCGGTTACAAAGAACAATAATCATGAGCTCGTCAATATTTTGTATACTTTACCTGAATCTACTATGAAACGCTAATAGGAAAGGCAAATATTTCACATTGTTACATAGATATGTCTTCCTACATTAGGAAACTATGGACGATGTGAATGTTCATATTTATCTTTTTAAAAGTAGTACATGACCCATACGTCTGAATGCATAAGTCATGAAAATTCAGAGTTAATATTATGTTATAATATGCATAATAAAACATACTTATATTTTTGAAGACTGTATTGTACTTGTTTTAGACCGGAGGGCGCCTTTTGGCGAGACAAATAGCGAGTGTACTGTTACAAGCTTTGCATGGGAGAAAGTGTGCTAAATTTAATGTCTTGTGTGGTTATTACTCTTCTCCATTTAAAAGGACCAACCCCCCACGTGATCAGCGCTATTTAACAGCAAAGACCTCTCGCGTACACATGGGCCCAAAGGATTCAACCGATGATACCGACATTGTATGTTCAAAATTCGATGGCGACCATACCGTTCTGTAATTGGGTCATGATGACCTTCTAGACTCAGGGACAGTTTATACTACGTTGCACACCGACGTGGTGCGACCTGAACGAACTGCGAATGAGATGGACGTATTGAAGACTGTTTATGAACGAAGTAGCTAATTATTTTAGACATATATCCCGATCGCAGCCAGATTAAGCCCGTTTTACGACATTTTCGTAGGACTGGCAAGAACGGGTAAGAACTAGTTTGGTGTGATAGGGGGGTTAGCCTTGTGTTAGTCAATGTATTTTTTATTATTTGAAACTCAAGATAAAAAGACAATATCGACTTTGGAAAGGCTGAATCAAACTTGAAGCCCTCTATTCCAAAGCATGATATTATACTGACTGAGATACCAACACTTAAAGGGAGCTGTGCGGTAGTTGCAACCTTCTATCCAGGGATCCGTTTTTTGAACCATCAACTTACAATTGCGGTTTTTTAACACAAGTCATTGTTCATCAGAAAGTAGACAATAGTTTTCTCGGAATCGTAAGTACGATCGAACCAAAAACGAACCATGGCTGGCTTATTACTGCACTGAACTGTACTTTTGTAGATGTGTTATTTTCCGCATCTTTACTATGCAACCACCACAATAAGTGGTGATGTCTTGTTCAGTTGGACGACACATTGAAAAAACCCATTGTTGTTTACCAAACTTTATATCAAAGTGGTGTAGCGATATATGACGTCATCGCACTACTTGTTTCTGGTCCGTTGGCTACCATCTTTATGAGGTCCAATGAAACGGGAAACATTTAAACATTTGAAAATGAAAGTGAGACTTTCACTCATTTTGTACCCTATACTCGTGCGAAATTAACATTGATTAAACATTATTTTTTTTAAATGTCTGAATCGCTTAAAAGTTAAAGTAAATACGATATTCTATAAGTACCAAATATCAATCAGTTCAGATAAAATGCCTTAATTTGTTACATTTTCTACGAAAACGGCTGGGCATAATTTCGGTAAAAATGTGTATTTTACGACGTTATATGCATGGTTGAATCCAAAAAGTAGTGTCATTCAGGAAATTATCATGTGTGCGTAAAATCATGTGGATATTTCATTTTGAGTAACTGAATTATCAAATTTACATATATATTGTCTTTGGAACATCACCCTTACACAGAATTATTTTCATAATGATTGCTCGATTTGTTCCATGATGAAATGCAATTTTAGACCTGGAGCTGACTCGTATCAAAAAGTATTTAGCAATGAGTTCAGGCTCACTGATTTTAAAGATAGATAAAATGAACGAAAGGGAAAAGGTTATATGTGCCTAAAAGCATGCGGATATTTAACCTTCAATAAATGAATTACAATTTTGATGTTTATATAATCTGAAGAACATCACATTTACACATAATTATTTTTATGATAATTGTTCGATTTTTTTCATGATAAACTGCAATTTTAGACCTGACACGTATTAAAGAAGTATCGGACAATGTATTTAGGCCCACTGATTTTTAGGATAAATAAAATGAGCAAAAGGAAAAGGTCACGTGCACAAAAGCGTGTCAGTATTTGGATTTGAAGAAATGAATTAAAGTTTTGACATTAATATTATTTGTGAAGCATCACCTTAACATAGAATTATTTTTATAATTTTTGCTTGATTCCTTCCATGAGAAAATGCAAGGCACGCGTATCAAAGAAGTATTTGGCAATTGCATCCAGTCTCAATGGTTTTCAAGGTAAATGAAATAAGCAAAACTGAAAAAGGTCATGTGTGCGTAAATGCGTGTCAGTATTTAATTTTGAAGAAATGAATTAGTTTTTTGACATAAATATTATTTGCGAAGCATCACCATAACATAGAATTATTTTTATAATTTTTGCTTTATTCCTTCCATGAGAAAATGCAATTATAGACCTGGCACACGTATCAAAGAAGTATTTGGCAATTGCGTCCAGTCTCATTGGTTTTCAAGGTACAGGGTGACCCAAAAATGCAACCCTCCATTTCTTCAATATTTTTCTTAAATGGAGATTAATTGCTCTGAAATTTGGCACACAAGGACTTCATTCAATGTGGGATCCTCTGGCAAAGTTTCAATAACCATAGTCTTAAATTGATAGAGCTATGGTCGTTCCAAAATATGCTCCAAATGTCGTCCATTTCCAATGTTAGGTTTTCAGGTGAATCACATTCCCTTCTTTCTGAACATGTAAACTCAAGAAATAATGTGTTCTGGGATCACAAATTCCAGATGAAGTGCTTCAAAGGCCCCTTCATTCTGTTAAATGCACAGCTTGGGCTGCCAATTTCCAAACATGAAATCATCAGCCCCTTTTGGTTTGAGGTTGATAATGCCAACACTGTTACTGTTAACACACAGCGCAATATTTGCGTTCCCAGGAAGTTCTAGGCAGTTCTAGAGTGGTATAGAGGCTCCAATAGACATGAACAGTGTTTCTAGAAGGATGGAGCTTCTCACACTTCTGATGAAAGCATAGCCTGGCTCACTAGTCATTTCTATGAGAAGATGATCTCTCCTAGGACGGAGAACCCATGGTCATCCCACAGTCTTGATCTCAATGCCCCTGACTTCTATATATGGGGTAATTTAAAGGATAATGTGTATGAACATAACCCTACCGCAATTGCAGAACTCCAATAAGCAATGGCGGCAAAAATTTGAGCCATACCCATGGGGAAAATGCATTCCTATTATGAACAGTTTTCCTTGAACATTGCAAGTTTGTTTTCAGCGAAATTGACGACATCTGGAGCATATTTTGAAACAACCATTACTCTATCAATAGAAGTCTATGATTATTGAAACTTTACCAGAGGATCCCACATTGAATGAAGTCCTTGTGTGCCAAATCTCAGAGCAATTTATCTCCATTTAAGAAAAATATTGAAGAAATGGAGGGTTGCATTTTTTGGGTCACCCTGTACCTTGAAAACCAATGAGACTGGACGCAATTGCCAAATACTTCTTTGATACGTGTGCCAGGTCTATAATTGCATTTTCTCATGGAAGGAATCAAGCAAAAATTATAAAAATAATTCTATGTTATGGTGATGCTTCGCAAATAATATTTATGACGTATTAAAGAAGTATCGGACAATGTATTTAGGCCCACTGATTTTTAGGATAAATAAAATGAGCAAAAGGAAAAGGTCACGTGCACAAAAGCGTGTCAGTATTTGGATTTGAAGAAATGAATTAAAGTTTTGACATTAACATTATTTGTGAAGCATCACCTTAACATAGAATTATTTTTATAATTTTTGCTTGATTCCTTCCATGAGAAAATGCAAGGCACGCGTATCAAAGAAGTATTTGGCAATTGCATCCAGTCTCAATGGTTTTCAAGGTAAATGAAATAAGAAAAACTGGAAAAGGTCATGTGTGCGTAAATGCGTGTCAGTATTTAATTTTGAAGAAATGAATTATTTTTTTGACATTAATATTATTTGTGAAGCATCACCTTAACACAGAATTATTTTTATAATTTTTGCTTGATTCCTTCCATGAGAAAATGCAATTATAGACCTGGCACACGTATCAACGAAGTATTTGGCAATTGCGTTCGGTCTCCTTGGTTTTCAAGGTAAATTAAATGAGCAAAACTGGAAAAGGTCATGTGTGCGTATTTAATTTTTGATAACTTTTTTGACATTTATTATATCTATGGGGAATCATCTTTACACAGAATTATTTTTTGATTCAAATTTAGTTCCTTTATTAGAAAGGCATTTTAAAAACTGAATTATGATTTTGACATTTTCATAAGCTTTGAACCATTGCCTTTCCACATATTTATTTATTTTAACATGAGAACTTTAAACACGTTCATAACTGAACGGTCAATGTGAGTTGAATTAAAATAAAAAATATCAATTATCTGCGCATTTTCGTTATATTACGTCATACGGGATTTCGTGCTTTAAGTTGGCTGAAAGTGGAAATGGCACGTGTGCGAAAACGTTTGTTATCAATTCATCTTTCAAAACACATTTTTATTTTTTTACATAGCTATGATCTATGATATATAACCTATGTAAAGAATTATTTTCAAATTAATTGCTAGGTTAATTCAATAAGCAATTCTGAGGTATATTTGAACTTTAATTCCATAGCAGATGTAATTAGGACAAAAGTTTTGAAATTCAAGAAGAGATTACATCAATCAAAATAAATCTTATAATTCAAACAAGTTGACAATACTTGGTTCAGTTCTTTCATTTTCAATCATACCACGGTCATAGATTAACATAAGTGACCGTTCGAAAACATACCATTTTTGTAGAAAATGAAAGAAAATCGCTTTATAACATGTATTGAGTAATTGTCAAGTTCACGTCTTAAGTTTGATGTGGTAAAAAGCATTCTTCATTAGTCACACATTTAAGTTAAGGGAAGCCAAGATCATTTTAAAAATGAAACATTTGAATAGATATTTTTAACATGGAAATACTTGTAGAAAGTAAGCTTATACTAGTAGATTTGCTAGAACTAGCTGTTTGGAATTCATCAACTTTTCTCCACAGGATCATTTCGTAGTACAAATGCAGGTCATTCAAAGGAAATATAGGTTTCAACATCCCCGTCTATGAATATTGATCTTTTTCAGACATCAAAGGTAAGTTTAAAACAGAAATACTTCTTACGAATCCAAATTACATTTAAACTTAGAATTGTGATCTACGATCTTATGGGTATGTCACAAATTTGATTAGATACATTCACTCAGCAGGCCGTTAAACATGTAATTAACTTAACAAGCGTAACTATAGGTAACTTCGATTTTAGTATGTTCAAGTTCTGTAGTCTCGAGAGTCAAACGATTATCATAGTTTATTTGGCCTGCTTTTAGAATTGGGAAAACAAAGGCAAGGTTTATGTTTTATGAACGTTCCGATTTGATAGCAAACGTTATTTTTGAGTGTATTAAATCAAACAAAGCTTATTGCGTCGGGACCTGTACGTTCGTCCAATTAAATGCAAATGTGCCGTCAATTAAAGAAACATGCACAGTGGTACACCGTTTTTGGATAACATAACACTGATAATAAAAATTCATCAATTGTTATGAAATTTGCACCATCATTAAAAAGAATCTTTCCGCAACTTTCTATGTCTGCACTGACAAAAACTTGAAATCCCCGCCGTAAAGATATAGTCCCACGCGGATGTGCACGTCATAAAGCTGATGGGTTTAGGCAATGTGTCGTTCTACTGGTTGCAGTTTCAATTTTTTGTGGACGGTGTTTGGCGGTTAGTGTTCCAACAGTCCGGTTTATATCAAATTCTTACAACGTTCAATAACTACTGTTTTAGTCTGGCTTCAAATTTAGCTATCAACATATACCTGTATAAACGTTATAAGACTTCCAATACATTTTTGCCAATATATGTTACCATGGCAACAAAAGTCGACATTGAAGGTCAAAAAGGTATTTTTCAACTTGCTGCAAATTGACGAATTTATTTTAAAGATCACCTGGATCAAAATTGATTGATTGATTGCTTGATTTAGAGTTCTAAAGTAGTTCCTAAGTTTTAAAATCTAGAACTGATAACTTTTTGGTGGTTAGACATCTACAAAGTGTAACCAAGTTGATTTTTCAATCATAAGATCATGATAATGAAATCTTATTTTCTTATTTCTAGACCATATAGATATTCTCGACAATATAGATCATTCTAGATATTTGTAGACAAGTAATCGAATTCAGATTTTTTATTTGGTGCAAATCCAACTGAATTGATGTCATGGCGTCATAGAATCTTGGCCCCTTGAAGAAGAAATATAATCGAAAGCTGGTTTACTTTGATGGAAAAATTAATATTTCATTGATATTATTTATTTTTCGGTATTGTTTTCTTTTGTTACATTATTGAATTTGCTGTAGAGGGAAAAATCAGTTTTACATGTATAAGATCACGTTTTATAGGTCTGTGTTACAATCCATACGTATCATATTCTTCAGCAACATGAAAAAGAAGAAGGTATGAACGGATTGCTTTGATGTTATATTTACAATATATATAGCAAACAAATAATTGCACCAAGAAGGCATACTAAAGCGTGAACAATCAGAAGACAAATCCTTTTGAAATCAAAACGTTGTCTTTTGAACATTACTCGTCAATAATCTTTTTTGATAGTGACTGATATATTTTTTTGTACGGCCTCTATGGACTTACATATATTCTGAAGTCGTATGAAGATATACCTAAGAATGTTATATTTATTAGGTCTATGTGTATACCACAAAATATATATATTCCTTATCCTAGCATATTACACAATATCTTGGCATATATAATGTTCAATCAATATTAGTGGAATATTCGTTAGGACAATAGCTTTCATTAGGTAAATCTACAAGGTGTTTCAAAATGACCGCCCGACCCGGTGTAAAAGGGTAGGTTGTCCTATCAAATGTTGGTCCTACTCTCTATTGATTTATATGCTGACCTAATTACAATTATTTTCCTTATTATTTATACACAGTCAGGGCCAGTAAGGGCCGTAAGGAAAGGGGACCATAATCCCCAGGAGACCATAATTTCTTTTACACCGGCCTGCTTGCACAGCCAATCCTCGATCACATAATCAATATAATAATATCATAAAGACCTCATTGAATTTCTGACTTTATTGACCAACTATATTGGCATGATTTATTAATGAGAGCATAATTTTTGAGCTTATGTTTTATAGTCACCATTATATTACCCTAATTTGTAAGCGTTATGGATTCTTTATGACTGTCATTTGTAACAGATATAAAGAAAAGAGCAAATTGTTTAATCAATGTATCTTTCATAGCTCTCTGGGTATTTCTTTGAAATATTTAATAATTTTTTCTTTCATATACCATTAAGACGTATTTTCAGTATCCATCAAATAATTGGTTCATGCATATTACTATTAGTGTCATTATGAAACAACATATTCATAAAGTTCATATTCCAAGAAAATATTAAAAACACCATCATTTTGAGTCTAAAATCATGGGCTTTCAATTAGAACCATGCTAAAACCAGCTGTTTTATATTTCAAAAAGCGATATCATCAATGTGGATATCGATTCCATTGAGATAAGGGTTTCTGAATGGTTGGGGAGGGGGGGGGCGACATTTGACTCTATTTGATCGTTGTTAAGGATGCTTGGATTTTTGTATTCCTTATAACCGATTTCAATAGCTCTGAAAACAGCGACATCTTTACTCGTTTCTTTGATTGAAATGCTTCAAGAAGTCAACCGATGGTAATAATTAAATATACGTTTGAATACCTTTTTTATGAGCAATAACTGATAGTAAACATACATTTCACTCTAATATTTCTATCGTACATAAGCAATAATTGCCAGTGATGTTAAGTCATTTATATATACACTTACTCAACGCTGCATATCTTCAATATGTTTCAATATTCATCTCTTTGTATTTTTATAATTCTGTTCTCTTTATCGCAGGGCCAGCAATGTGAAAAACAAGACATAAATATGCTAAAGAAGGAGATTTTGGAAGGAGTAGATTCAAAGATAGCAACATTGACTTCGCTAATGAAGAGGCAAAATAGGAATTTGAAGGACAAAATAAAAGAAATAACGGATGAGTGTACTAAATCACAGAGTAAGTCTACCAAAGCTAAGGCAATGCACCCTATCCCCTTGGACCTTTGACATTATTTATAAAGGCCCGTGGGAATAGAGCACTGGCGGCCAAAAATGTCATTGAATTTTCCGATTTGGGCCCAATTTTTGGTTTAAATGGATGAACTTCCGTTGGAGGAAATATTTATTTTCATCATTTTCAACAAGAAGGAGATCGATTTGTGTCTAAATATTTTACCTGTATCTTAATTGTACCATTCGGTTACTCTATAATAAGGAAGCATGTATTTCAATGTATGAGATGAATAGATGCCTTCCAGATAGTTAGATCGGCAAGATGTAAGATAGTAAGACGTAATGTCTTCGTAACCAGGCAGGTATGGCTGGCCGTCTGGACCAATGTATCGTCATACTTTTAACTCCGTAAAATCTACTTTTAACGCCGTAATAAATACTTTAAAAAATAAATAATTTTTTCTGGGGGTGTCCCACCAGACCTCCCTGAACGCTCGTTTTTCGCTTCGCTCAACTCGTATTACCACCATGAAATTGTGATGTACATTCCGACATGATGTGACTCAAAAATGTCATATCAGTTGGACTGGAATTCTTCATTTGCTGTGTTCCTTACATGTATCCCTTATTAGAATATTGGTACTTGGATTTTTGCTTAATTGATTAGTTTTGAATATAGCTGTCGTAAGCAATACCGTGTATGTTAATCAGGGGAACATTGAACAATCAGATAAAAATTCTAAGTAACTGAAAAAATCGTTTTGTAGAATCTGAGACAAACATAGAAAAAGTTGAAAATCGAAACCATTAAATATCGCTTTTGAAACCATCGAATAACACTTTTTAAATAGTGAAAATATGATATCTTGATCTACATATCAAATATATCTTCACGTAATATTCAATCTATATACTTGCAACCATGGGATAAACTGCATATCCGTTTGCATGTACTGATTTCTATACGTGTACTGCAACAGTAACACTGGATATTTTTTGAATTACAGACCAAATTCAAAGAGAATTAAACGCTAATTTAGAAGAATACAGTAAACTTATCAAGTCGGGGGACTTTGTGGCAGCCTCTAACTATTGGTCCAAGGATGGCACAATGGTCCTTGCTAACAAATTCCAGTTAAATGGAAGACAGCGTAAGTGAATGGTGCTTGAAATATACACTCCCCTCCATAGGTTTGGCAACCAGTATTTTTAATTAGAAAGCATATTAGAGCATGTCAATATTTGAATCTTAATTTTCCCCTTAGCCTAATTTACATAAAGGAAAATGAAGATTTTTTTAAATGGTCAAACATAAACAAGCAATAATATGTGATTCAAAGTAGAACTTCCGGGTTACCAAACCTATTGAGCGGGTGTAACTATTATGTACAGAAGTATTTACCATAGGTCTATATCCAGATTTACTATGCACATACATTTATTACAATGCTCATACTCATATTTGACTATGTCAGCAGTTATTAATGGTGAAAATATACGACTGGTAATACATGATATTCGCTTAATAAAACACAAAACAGACAAGGCAAACAGTAGTATGACAGCATATTAATATGCAAACAATAAATACTGTAGATAATTATCTAAACGAACGAAGTTCGGTAGGGATAAAGTGAAGCCCTCATTCCGTCCGTCCGTCCGTTAGTCTGTCCGTCCGTCTGTCCGTCCCGGCAATAACTCAAATACTGTTGGCCCGATTTGGTCATATTTTGTAAACATATACCCTATGGGGATAGAAGTTCTGCTCGAAAGCCGATATTCAAAATGGCTGCTCATTCAAAAATGGCGGCCATTTAGTGCCGATTTTACAGTAATTTAGGTACAAGATGTAAAACTGTAGCAATATGTTTTAAATGTAACAAAACTATATAGGACATTAATAAAGCTAGAAATGTAGATCTTAAAGAAGCACATGGCAGCCATCTTGAAAAATGGCGGCCTTTACTGACTTTACTCGCTATTTTAAGATTTTTGCTGTAACTCTGATAAGTAGTGGAGCGATTTTGTTCATATTTTGTATGTGAATACTATAAGCATGGCACACTGTCTGGTGACACTTTTGGTAGAAGGCAGCCATTTTGAAAAATGGCCGCCATTCTAATGTATTTTACTATATATAACTCGAAAAGTAGTGGTTTGACTTTGTCCATATTTGGTATGTGAATACTATAAGCATGGCACACTGTCTAATGACACTTAGTAGAAGGCGGCCATTTTGAAAAATGGCCGCCATTTTATCTTATTTTACTATAACTCAAAAAGTAGCAGAGCGATTTTGTTCATATTTTGCATGCGAATACTATCAGCATGGCACACTGTCTTATGACACTTTTGGTACTGTAGAAGGCGGCCATTTTTTCAAAATGGCCACCATTTTATCCTAATTTACTATAGCTCGAAAAGTAGTGGAGCGATTCTGTTCATATTTGGTATGTAAATACTATAAGCATGACACACTGTTTAATGACACTAGTGGTAGAAGGTGGTCATTTTGAAGAATGGCTGCCATTTTTGCTATATACTTTGTTTGTAAAAATGCCAGCTATGGCTGTTCGATGGGATTTGCTACGCTTTGACGTTGCTGTTGTCTAGTTTATTTTCCTCCTCCCGCTCACCCCCTTGGCAAAAGCTGAATGCGGGCCTGTACCTATACCTGTACCGATAATATGTTCGACTGCTTAAAATAACTGTTTTTTCATTATTTTCAAGAAATCGAGGATCACCTAAAGAGCCTTGTGAATAGAGGTCACCACCTGTTTGTAACCCCAGGACGATTCGAAGGCAACTGCCGCTATCAAGTTATGCTTGGTGATATTGACTATTATATTGATAACAAAGATGGAACTTCATCTCTCTTTATAAACGGCAGGTGGGTTATTAAAAATTGGAATTTTAGGGCCTCATTATCTTGATAAATATATTTATCCAAATTTCAAAAAGGAAGCCTCCAATGCGAACATAACCAATGATTTTTGTGATTTATTGTTCGTGCATCAACTAATACTAATATTCACTACAAATTTTAACATCATTTATCATTTTGGTTTCAACTTTTCAAAATGTAATAATTAAATTTGATACAATATGAGTACATGTAACGAGCAAGTATTTAAAATTCTATTAAATTTCTATATTTTAGGATGATGGCGTATTTTACATACAACAGTTCTAGAAACAAGTGGCTTATCGTTTTTTCAATGGACACGTTTGATATTCCACGACCAATTTACGAAGGAGTGTAAGTAATGTTGACAATTCTACATCCTCACCCCAAATATTGAATATTGAAAAGTAAACGTTTTCAACAAACTCAGCTCAATGAGCTACTAGTCCCTGACGTCATAATCATGATGTTGTGAAACAGCTCCTTGTGCATTCATTAAAGAACTACAAGAGACTATGTTTGAAAGTTACAAAAATATGTTTAAAAAACCTCAAAAATAAAATGAACGTAAAAATAATTAAAATATGTTTACTCTGCTAGATGCTTTATTTCATTGCTTTGCAGGACTTTGCAATTTGAAATAACCACACTTTGGGACAGTAAGTCAATTGATCATCCCCCAGTAACGTTACAACTGCAACGGCGTGGAAACTTCATATGGCTTATGATCGACGCTCCATTCTTCAATGACACTCCTAGCCCCGGTGGTGCCCCTGGTGAACCATTTCCCAAGCTATGGCAATACGAAGGTAAACGCAGGTTGCAATATCATATACAAGAACAAGCTCGTATGACACTTTTCTTCAAGTGGGGTGCAGTTTTTACTGAAAAGAATAAACTGGTCAATTTTTGCCACGTATATCAATGGCAAATATGGGTCAGGTGGGGGGTCGGTTTACTAAAATACCCCCCCCCCCCAAGTTAACCAACTCAACCTATTTTGTTGTACTTTAATTGGTTTTATATTTTGTATGAGCATAGGCCAAGGGAAATTCACTTCTATATTGAGCTCAATACTAGTAGTACCTTTATTTTTGGAGCAATTTGGAATGTGTGCCATAAACCTTCACCCAGGAACTTTTACCATGTTCAGTGATTTATGGAGTTTATGAACAAGTGTTTGAATCAATTTGAAAACAATGTTTTTCAATTGTTTTCATTTTGGGGGAGCGAGGGGGCAGTGAAAGATAAATGCCTCTTCGGAAAATTTTAGTTCAATATGCTGTCTGGTTATTTCTGGGCAGAGCGGGGCGTGAAGTTGTGGCCCCTCTATCTAAGAAATTTGATCAATCCAAGATACTACATTATATTGGTGATTTCTGGACACTTTTAAAGTGTTTGACAATAAATAAAACTGGGAGAAAACAGAGACAAACTGAGAGGGGTGCCAGAGCGGGAGCAATGGTGACCCCCCCCAAAAAAAAAACATTGACCATTTCAAGGTGCTATTTGATGATGTCAGGGTACTTTTTACGGTGTCTGAGATGATAATTAAAATGAATAACCTTTTGGAAGAGCAAGGGATGGTCCACTCCCTCTAGAATTTTTTTCAATCGTTTGCTCTTTGGGGATAATATATACATTATGTTGGCGATTTCTGGACACAATGATTTCTAAAACTGAGAAAACTGAGGATTATGATTATATGGCTGTGTAGATCTCAGAAGAAAGAAGAGTTGTTCTAAAATATTCCCTTGGTATTTTAGTTTAAAATATACAGTACATAATAAAATGTTCTTTAATTTACAGTTGTGGAGGCATTTTTCTTGGGAGGAGGTGGAAGTGGTGAACCTCTTTATTTAGAGGTGGAGTTCTCGCCGTAAGTCCATCAAATACAATTTTGGACGAGAAAATGCAGTACTAATTTTCTCCCTATCTAGCACAATTTAAAAATTAATTTATCGATTTAAGAAAATCCAAAAAACATCATCTAAGCATAGGAGTGTGATTTAGAAGAAAATAGTTCACTCAGGCTCACCAGACTCGAACAAACTCGAGCATTACATTTTATATTATATATATCAATGGTTTTCATTTTAGACATGGCCAACACCTCATTCTATTGATGAAGGGGGTTCGTAAGGCATTAAAGGTAGTAAGAGACACTTATGACGTGCACGGACCTGGGGACAATTCGGAAAATACGGGCTAATCTCAGCTTTAAGCGTTATTATCTGCCTTATTTAAAACCTAACTATGCGCTTTATATATCATTTTGAAGTAATTTTTATTCGCATTTCACTGAAATTATTTTTCCTTGAAAAGTTTGATGGGATCTACTATATTTTTAAAGTTAGATGTAGCCCGACATAGTCAAATACGCTGTATGACGTAACATTTCACGCTTACATGGTTCGTTGAAATCGGGATAACTTTTGAAAAACTGATCAGAATTTTACTAAAATTTCACATTTTATTCAATAGAATATGTTCATTTATGACGTCACAATTGCATAACGGCTACAGTTCAAATTGTTTTATATGAACGCTTTTAAAATTTTCAAAATTGTGTAAGGTTTTGAAGGCGAAGGAGACAAGCAATAAGTTTACCTTTATTTAACCTTCTAATTTAGGTCTGATTTCAAAAAAATTTACTGCACAATATTGTCATGGCGAAATTTACAAAACAATAACCGATTTCTTTATTTATCAAATGATATCAAAATAAGAGCTGATTTTAGAGACTTGAAAAATGTAACGCATCGATTTTTTACCACAAATTCCATACATATCAATTTATGCTAACGCCCCGCGTTGATTTCCTGACCGTTTTTCAAAAATCAAAAACATTTTAGAAATATTGTCCTCTAGATCTTGTTGCTCTGTGAATTTTACCAGGATTGAATAAGGATAAAGCATCTTATTTCTAGGTTGACTATAACTCGACAAAATGTTACGCTTGTCTTTATGTATACCGCCCATTGTTTTGCATGTTAGTTTTTTAATATTATGTTACGCTAATTGTCCCCAGTTTCGTGCGACGTATAACTGGATTAATGGCCGGGGAGCAAAATACAATAAGTATTATAATATTCAAGTTTGTAAAAATAAATATATCCTATTATCAGGTATTGCATATTATTACCACCTTGCAGGGCCTATTCTAGGGGTTTTAGAACTAGTTGAGAAGGCATTAAAATTGCTATATTGACGTGAGCAATATTGTGTCGGGCGTTAATGACTTTAGTCGGGCAATAATGACATTATCCGCCCGGCTATGTTTCCCAGGAAAAGTGAGATCGTTCAGTGCGTAAGATTTTCTATTTCAAATTTGCTATTTCATCCCTGGGCATTAACGGTGGTAATAATAGTAATAACGTCATTTCTGCGGGCAAAATTGTGAAATATTGGACCTTGGGCCTGTGGCCCTTAGTCCAATATTTCACTGTATTACATACCCAGCGAAGCATTTGTATTGAAGTCAATGGAGCTGAGGGTCGGCTATATATTCCTGTATAGCCGCCAAACCTTTTACCATGACAATCTTATGACGTCATCGGGACGTCATGTTTCATTTCTTCCTAATTTCACACGCACACAGACACGTGGCGTCATTGATATAACGTAGCCATGATATAAAAGTATGTAATACAACAGTTATGTCCGTATCATTGAATATATGCCTTCGGTCTGTCGTAATATAACCCTCGCAAGCTCGGGCTATATTGGTGACAGACCTCAGGCATATATTCAATGATAGGGACATAACTGCTAAGTATTACATACCCAGCTAAGCATTTGTATTGAAGTCAATGGAGCTGAAGGTCGGCTATACGAGGGTTGTCCCAGAAGTAATGCACTATATGCTCTAACTTTATCAATGGTTAATATTTTTCCATGAAATTTTCAGTAAATGTTCCTTAGAGACATTTTGATCATTCTACAAATTTTCATGTTGACTGATAAAACTATATTGATGTTATAATAAAATCAAGTTGGTGAGTTTGGGTAGGGCGGGGCAGGTTATACAGTCACGTCAAAAGGAATAAAAAATTGAAAATATGAAATAATTAAACAACAAATACCATTTTGTGCAGCTATAAGAAGTATGCCAAAAAATACATTTTAAGATACTAAATTACAATGAGCACAACTTAGATTTAATGGATGTATATTACAGAGTGTCCCATTTCACATTTTCTCAAAATATTGCCCTTTGTATGTTATGTACTTTTGATGCCTGTCAGGTCAAACACTCTTGGCAATTTCTTCCACTGTGACTTGTGAAGTTTTTGCCTCCCATGTTTGGAGTTGTCATCCAGGGTCAAGTCATCTCTTTTAAATCTCTTCTGCCACCTCATAATTGTAGTTCTATCTGGTATATACTCCTTATATACTTTCTTCATGGTAGCATAAGTTTTGCGTGGCTGTGAGTCCAAGTGAAGTATGAAATTAGGCCACCAAACGCAAGGCCTTCTGGTATCAGGTGAGAATTTCAGCCATTTTTTCAATTTTTTGACTTTGACAGTATTTGAATTTTTGACTATTGAACTGTGATATTATGACAACACAGTGCTAAATGTCATTATTTTTACTTGTTTAACATCATGCTGAATAAATTTAACAATTTCCCAAACATTTTGATCATTTAAAAGAAAGAAATATTAATAAAATAACACTTTGGATCTTTTCATAATTAGAGAAATTGGTACCTGCCCCGCCCACCCCTACCCCCATGTTGCTATAGCAACCATATTAAGACTTAATATTAATGTTTGATGCTGAAACTTCAGGATATAATAGACAAGACTTCAATTGTTATATACACAAAATTTCAGCTGAATTGAAGAATATTGAAGCAAGTTAGAGCATATAGTGCATTACTTCTGGGACAACCCTCGTATATTCCTGTATTACATACCCAGCGAAGCATTTGTATTGAAGTCAATGGAGCTGAAGGTCGGCTATATATTCCTGTATAGCCGCCAAACCTTTTACCATGACAATCTTATGACGTCATCGGGACGTCATGTTTCATTTCTTCCTAATTTCACACGCACACAGACACGTGGCGTCATTGATATAACGTAGCCATGATATAAAAGTATGTAATACAACAGTAATGTCCGTATCATTGAATATATGCCTTCGGTCTGTCGTAATATAACCCTTGCAAGCTCGGGCTATATTGGTGACAGACCTTAGGCATATATTCAATGATAGGGACATAACTGCTAAATGTTGCCCTTTGAAATGACGTTATTGTACTATTAATGGACCTTCAACCAACAATCTTAATCGATAATACATCAAATGCATGACTACCGTTCGAGTAGATGTGTTTTGTTATGTCTTATTCACCAGCAATATCGCTTCATTTGAAATCCCTTAAGCTTCTATCAGTGTCTATCATGTGTTCTTTTATCAATTTCAAAATTATTTTCAGCACAGTCTCCCAGTTGACTACACATCCAAGATAAATGGTTCCACATGGACTGGTCTTGCAAGGATACCCTTGAACTATTTCCCACCGAATGTTACAATGTTCAATGCATATGCTATCCATGGATCAGGGAACCAAAGAATGTATGAAGCGTTGTATCCTACGGAGGAAGGGAAATACACTGGTCCTGATTTGTAAGTGATGTATAATGAATTCGTTTATTTCACCCAGCATATTTTGGGCATATTTTCTAGGGATAAGACGTTTTGAAACATACTTTATAAATGCCTTGTGGTTTTAGGAAGATAAGTTGGAAAGATATATCCCGTATCCTGATTTTGAGGTTTCCATATCTAGAACCTCCATATCTCTCGCTCTCGGGCTACCTACCTATGGATAAACCCCATATCCAAAACCTCCGAGTACATAAGTAATAATTCCCTTTCTATTTCAGTCACAGATTAGACTACTTCCAACCAATAGACTTTGCCAAGCTTGCCCCGGAGAACACAAATGCTGAACTCTCTAATCTGTGGACAGAATAAATGTAATAAACATCTGGAGATTGTAAATCCATGTAACATGAAATCGAAATGACAATAAATCACATTCCCTAAACAATTTTTGTTTTTACTAGTGCAATGATTGAAGACATTCGAGAGGTTCTTTGAGTTTTCCCTTTCATCAGATGTTATTTTAATGTAATTTAATTTTTACAATTTTGATATTTACATTTCGTTCAACACAACTTATGAAAACTAAGTTTTCGATCTTTCAATTTTAAATACCCACCAACAACCAGTAGGAACGCATTGTGTTACAGAACGCCGCCTGTTACAGAATGATCATGAGTTAATCATAAACAATCTGCTGGTAGGAAAGTACAATCAAGACCCTCTAGATTTATTTGCATGATGAGCCGTACCATATTTTCAATTTATCAACTTACCAACGAAGAAGTCGCAATTTTCCGAAAATGCTGACCGGTCGAATTATTTTCGTCGAAATTAATTATCTGAAACTTGAATAAACCGGGGAAATCCGTAGTGTTATCTGATTGGTCGTTAATTTTTTGTGTCACTTGACAGGATTTTCCGCGACGAAACGCAATTATGTTCAATTCTGCTAGTTGGTTGTTCTGTTAATTTTCTCAATACATCGCTCGGCAATACTATTACCTATAAGTTTAGCAATTATAATGGGACATCACTGACTGTCCGAGGGAGAAACCTTTGGCATACTTTAAATAATACCTTTTATATTTTTTTATACCAAATATACGCCTCTTAAAATATTGGTTGGTGTATTTTGCCACATATTTGAACTCTTACCAAATATAAATTAAAAACTTAGGATATTGTAATATTGATAAAGTATAAATTCAAATGTTCTTCCAAACTAGCCTAACAGCTCTTCCAAGAGTGCATCAGTGCAACTCTACCAAATTATATAATCAGCTGAATAGATTTGAATTTACAAGTGATATATACAGTGGAATAATAAAAAAAATTCTCAAGATCCGGAAGGTAAATTTTCAAAAACATTACCATAAATACTTTTGTATTCTCACTGAATGTTCACCATTTTTTAAGTAAAAAAGCTTTTTTCCCCTTGAAAGCAAAGTTAAATTAAAACATTTTCTTAAAAATAACCAAGTGGTCAATCTCTATTTTCAAATTGAATTGTAGAAAAGAAGTAGGTCGAGACTGAAGTTCTACATCAGAAGATAGTGTATGTAATATCCCAGATGCGAGTAGAAATAATCTTGATTTACGTCATTAAAAATTCACAATTCAGTCAAACTGATGTCATATTTGGAATCTACATGTAAAATTACATTTAGAAATGTTGTTTTGAAAAGACTTAATCAACTTTGAAAATTTAATTTTCTTTGAAAATGTGACTTCTAGGTCGGGGAGATTCCCCATAGACCCCATGTTGTAAAACCACAAAAAGTGAAATATTTTTTCTTGTGTTGGGCGGATAATATTTTCTTTTCTTGGACATATTATAATTTGTATGAATATCAGATACATAAGGGTAATATGAAACGTGAACCACTAAAACTGATGCATATTCAAGTTTAAGTGAATTTTGTAATACCCTGCCATGTTAATTCCCCCGAATCAGTCACCTGGTGGCGAAACTGGTAACTACCTACTCGCATCTGAGTAATTGCGATCTGAAATAAACCCAAAATGTTTTAAATGTATAATAATATATAATACAGTGCAATGTGATTCAATCCAATGCAATACAATACGATGCAATACAACATAATGCAGTACAATTTATATGCCATTAAAAATCATTTGCATGATTTCAGAAATCATTATTATTCATTTGTAATTGTGTTTATTAGGCTTTTAATGTAAAATTTATTATATCTATATGATAGATATTTCTACAAAGTAATAAATGTCCTATAAAATGATTCATAAATTATATGTGTATAAACAGCCATATCCTGTCCTAACAATCACCTATATAATATCCTTTTTTAACCATCAATACCATGTAGCAAGTTTCGAGTTGATCCTTAGGGGAGACATAAAACTGCAACCCTCTTAATTTCGAATAACTGAATTTTTACGAACTTTATTGTGAAGAGAGGTCAGGTTATATTTCTTTTGGTTGTTATAATACTAATTGCATATATTTAAGTTGATACACACGATTCAAATTGGGATGTACATGTATCCACTTAGGGAATCTTTGGGACTTTGTTCTAAGACGACATTACGCAAACGCAGTCAAGAATTGCTTCTACAGACGAGCCCGGAGCCAGATTTAGGCAAGGTGTTGATAATACAGTAATAAGGACCACCAGTAGTTTTAATATGATGTGGTAAAGTCTTGGTAGTGTCCAATAAAGTTATTTGTTGGTGGGCCCATCTTTTTTAACACCCTGTACTATATCTAGTATAAATATGGACAAGGCATTAATATGACAAAATGTCACAACTTAGTTGCTCACAATATTAGGAAGTTCAATATTAAGTCAGATTTGATTTTGAAATTGGTCAATTCGAAGCAGTTGACCTTTGTGACCTCTTTTGACCTTGAGAATCCATTGAAGAACAAGTCTTAAGTTTTGAGTCCGATTTGAACTTCTGAGAACTAAGTATAGATGATTTTGAAAAAGACTGGTCAATTTGAAGCAAGTTGAAAAAAGACTTCTTGACATTTTTTACATCGAGAAGGTCATTGAAGGTCAAATCTCAAATCTAAAGTCAGATATGAGCTTCTAAGAACTTTTAGATGATTTTGAAAAAATTGAAGTCAGTCTAACCAGTATTTGTTAAGTTATTGGCAGTTGTAAGAATTTGTTACAGACACCAACCGCCAGACGCCTAATGCCACCCGCCGGACCCCAACCGCTCACAAAAAACGGAGACCATATCAATTATCATCACTTTTTGGCGGTAACATAGAAAGTGACGTATTTATCGGCCCACCCTGTAGGCCTAATTTGTAAACATATAAACCAACATAAACAGATAAATGGTTAACCTTCATTTACTCATTTGATTTAATATGTTTAACTGATCCTAGAATTTACTCAACAATTACACTAACAAGAATCCAACCAAGATGCTCAGACTTCTAGCACTTATATTTTTCACAGTTTTATTCTCATTTTCAAAGGGCCAACAATGTGAAAAGCAAGACATTACCTTGATGAAGAAGGACATTTTAGAAGGAGTGAATTCAAAAATAAAAATATTGGCGTCCCAGTTGAAAAAACAGGATAGGAAGTTGACGAACCAGATTAAGCAGTTGAATGAAAAAATGGCAGATGGCGCTGAGAGATGCCCATCCACTACAACATGTACTAAATCACAGGGTAAGTTTTGTTTGTTTTATAAATAATTGACTTTTTGATATTTTTGGCATATTGTGATATATCCAATGTTGTTTAGATTATTAGTATTTAAAGATTACCAAACTAATGTTACAACTTTACTTTTACGATGTGGATAATCGAATAGAAAGATCGTACTTTGATGTTTACGAAAAGTAATTCGGTCCTCCATAGCGCAAAAGTTTTCCGATCTCATCCAGTGATAACCGATAGTACAAATACTAATGGTACTTTGTTTCATATATTTTGCAGCCACAATTCAAGAAGAATTAATAGTTTTGGTCACGGACTACGGAAACCTTGTGAAGGCCGGAAAATATGACGAAGCTATTAAGTTTTGGACTGAAGACAGCCTTCTTGATGTTGGTAGCAACTTAAAGATGAAAGGTAGAGATGGTAAGTATGGTACGGCCAGAGGAAATACATAATCTATTTGAAACGATAAAATAACATATCTGACAAATATTTGGAAAATAAGTACAGGGGAAAGGAAAGAGAACATAAAAATAGAGAGACATTATATATATTCAATGCTTTATTGTACTAAAAATCCCTTCGGGTGAGTGTACAGCAAATAAATATGATAAAATAAAACTATACATACAATTACAATAACATACAATGCAAATTTTACACGGCATATAATGACAATATAATGTGATTGACTGATCATTAGATATATACCAACAACTACTATTAGCCTACATGTATATATTTATATTGATAATATAGTTGATCTCTTTTCAATTATTTCATAAAGGTATTTTGCAAAGGTATACACATGTTACCCTCAGCATTAAACATATAATAAGCCCTTTCTTCGGTAGTCAATACAGTTAGATTTGGGCAAATCGAGTTAAACGTATCAAAGTATTCATATCTCATTTTTTCCAATTTTTGGCACTCAAAAATAAAATGAGTTTCCGTACCAGTGTTGATTTTACATAATTTGCATTTTCTTTGATCTCTCGGAATTATTGGTCTTGTATATCTTCCTCGCTCTATTTCTAAATTGTGTGCACTTATTCTTAATCGCGTCATAGATTTCCTATGTTCAGCGTTCTTTATTAAATTCAAATATGGTTCTTTTTCCCATCGTTGTTTGATATTATTCAAAAATTCTAATTTCCCTTTATTATCATTGACAGTTTTTTCCCAATATTTTATATATCTTTTTTCAAGGATTTTCTTAATATCAAGCGGTTTGCTATTAATGTAATTTTTATCTTGTGGTTGAACATATGCCATTATTCTATCAATGTCATAGTACCATGATGGTTGATTATGAACTTTTGATAGTTCAATACTATCTGCATATGCATTAATTAGTAATGAACTCGTTCCTTTATTTTCTATATGATTTAAGTATTTAACTTGTTGGTAAAATATATTGATACACAGAGGGAATCTACCTAACTCACCCATCGTAGCTAAATTACTCGTTTTTCTATGCACCCCTAATAGAAACTTCAAATAAGATAGATGTAGTAATTCCAGTGGAAGTGACTTGTCATATTTCATTTCAAGGCCAAAATCTTTATTTTTCAGAAGATCTTTATTAGTTATTAGACCACCGCACCCCAGATTTCACATCCATATAATAAAATTGGTTTTACTAATATATCAAATAATTTCAGGCACAAAGTTAGGTTTATATCACCATGTGTAAGCATACTTATCAATTTGAATTTCGCCTTTTTTTAATAAAGATTGCAACTTGTTTCATCGATCCGTTGGCATGGAATTCCATACCCAAATAAGTATACTTTGATACGTTTTCAATTACCTGGTCCCCAATGTAGAATATATCATTACATCGTTTACCACTTTTATTAAACATTACAATTTTAGTTTTATCAGTATTGATATCTAAGTTCCATTGTTTAATTTTTTCAATTTTATGTCCATATCAGTTTTATTTGCAGTAATTATGGCTAAATCATCTGCAAATAGCAGGCAACTTATTTTTTGTTTTTGTAATTTTAAGTCTGATTCAAGTGTTAATTCTTCAACAACATCATTGATGTAAATATTAAACATTAATGGACTGAGTGGGTCCCCCTGTTTAACCCCCCTCTCACATTTAATGATATCAGTATGGTCACCGTTACTGTTAATTCTAACTGATGCTAATTATGATATGAATGCATTTTTCAATAATATTGTACTGTCGTCCTTTGGCTCCTTAATTTTAGTTTGATTGACACACTAGTCAAGAGTTGACTTGCACTATAATTATACTATTTTCCAGAAATTAATGAAGGCCTAAAGCACATTGTTGAGAAGGGCATTTACATGAAGGTTACCCTTGAACACTTTGAAGGAAACTGCAGATATCAAGTAACAACTGGAGACGTTGACTTTTACATGCGTCACAAAGATGGCACCACAAGTCTCATTGCTCCTGCAAGGTGAGACAAGGCGTTAACATGCAAAATATCACCACCTACCATTTGTTGCAGACATCGACCGCCGGATGCCAACCACCAAACCCAGACTACCAAATCCCAACTGCCGAACACTGACCACAAAAATACAAGATAAAAAGAACAAAACGAGGCATTAACATGCAAAATGTCACCACCTGCCATTTTTACAGACGCCGAAAACAGTCCACAAAAAAGTTTGAGACTATAACAGTATGACACTTCATGTGGCAGTGTGGTGGTAACATAGCAATTTAAAAATATAGTCATAGGCATAGTTGCCCATGAGGCAAGCGAGACAAATGCCTCATAGAAATGTATCTACAAATCTGTAAATCTATTCAGTATTCAGACTTTTACTAAACAAACCATTGAACTGAGATCAAAAGGTAGAAATACACCTCCTTTGGGCTTAAACCAGGCCTAATTTCTTATAACTAAATGTACGCCCTTGATAATGACTGTCAATGTGCGGTCATAAGTTTACAAGTAAGTGCATATATTGAATCAGCAAAACTAAAACATAATGGTTGATCTAATTTCATTTTTTGAATGTTTCTCTTTTTCATTCTAGGATTATGATTTATTTTAAATTCAACGACTCAACAAACAAATGGCAGTATCATTATGAACTCAACACGAGGCAGACTGAAGATGGGTAAAGACGTGAACACCGGCACTACTCAATAGTACTCAACACTGTATTTAAACTATATGCGACACTACTTAGTTATACTCAAAACTGTATTTAAACTATGTGCGACACTACCTAATTATACTCAACACTGTATTTGAACTATGTGCGACACTACCTAATTATACTCAACACTGTATTTGAACTTTATGCAAGGAGTATTTGAACTTTTTGCACTAAATGCACACAAATGGCATGCTGGATTCATAACCCTTTCCTTTTCAACTGTAGATTGAATATGAAATCCAAAAAATAAAGTCATATTCAATGTCATGCCCATATGTTTCATGCCCACACTACTAACTTTTGTCATTCATTGACTTTATTTTCCTCTTTTTAAATATTTTTATCTAGCCTTCATTCTGTCATTTAATCAGATTATGTAGTCAGACAACAATTATTAAACATTTTCTGTCTAGAAGCTAGCACTACTTTCAGTTTCACGCCTCCTCTATTAACCTTTCATTTGAGATTTTTAAGATTGCCTGAAACATTACTGTAAAATCATCTATAATAGTTAGAGGATACTAGTAGTGTGACCTAGATCATATTTCAAAATATCAACATGAAAAATGCCACCACTTGCCATTTGTTATGGATAAAACTGTCCACAAAAAAAGTTAGAGACTATAAAAATATGTCACCACTTGTGGTAGGGACATAAAAATGGTGTTTAGAACGTTCAATAACCTTACAGTCATGGTGGGAGAAAGGGGTGGTGTCAAAATGTCTCATTTTTGTTGAGAATTGGCCCTAATAAATTTTAATAAAATTAATCTATTTCCTTAAAGTAAGCATTTTAAAGAATTTAAAGCCAGGGTCAATGATTGAATTGTGATTGAAATTCAAGCATGACATTATTAATGAGGGTGGAAGCCTAAATTCAAAGTCAAGCATACTTATGTGTGCATGCATTATATTACCCACAATTCAAAGAGTTGTGTGCTTGAATTATTTTCACACATAGCGATAGATCATGGAAGTTAATTTGAACGCCAACATGAAACATGAGTGTATAAATTAATATGTATTTAATACATCCATTATTCAATACATCATTTGCAGTATAAGACCGCATCTTATGGGAGTTAATTTGAACATGAACATGAAATAAGAGTTGATAAATAAATATTGTAGCATTTCAGTTTACGGTGAATTCATTTATACAGGCTCTTTCGATATGAAACATAATATTGTCACACATAATGATTAATCACTGATGTGCCTGGCATCTCTGCTTTTCATGAAAATTTTGTTGAGAATATTTTAGCAATTCGTTTAGCGTCCTCAGCAGTGGGATTTTGACTCCTTTGTTGTTTAGAATTTTGTGTGCTGAATCTGTGTCCTGTCAGTTTAGCTGCAAAGTCTCTAGCTGCATTTTGTGGTTCCGACAATTTAGATTCCTCCCTCTGGAAAACAAATAAATGCTTAATCAATCAGGTGGGATTTATGAAGCCGCTAATCAATCAGGTGGGATTTATGAAGCCGCTAATCAATCAGGTGGGATTTATGAAGCCGCGTGGGTTATGTCATGATATTGATTAATATATGATTAAAACTGGCAAATAGGTGTCATAATTTGTTAATATTTCTCTACATTACCGCCTGGATCATATTTGCCATGTGCCGGTAAAACAAGTTAATGCTTAATCATTTGGGTGGAATTTATGAATCCATGTGGCAAATGTTTGAACATATGCCTTCTCTATTTTAAACCCATAATTAAAGCTGGCATCACTCGCATGTATTACATTTTGTCATGTGCCTGTGATTGCGTTAATGTGTCACATGATCAATGAAACATATAATAGCTTTGGAAGGAAGATATGAAAAAACTCAGTTCAATAATTAGTCAGCCGGAAAACAAAACATGTCATAATGGAGTCAGATTACACTATTTAAATCATAAAAGCAAGTTGTTCTTTAGGTCTCTGCCAAGTATTACATGCAAACATTGCCTAGTTTTTACAGGGTTATTGATTCTATTCTGGAGGTGAGAATTATCAAGACCACCATTTGCAGTGATTTATCGTGAAATCATTTTTTGGTTTGGATGCCTGGCTGACAGAAACATTTGAGAGATCTCCCCAATAAAATGCAGATAACTCACCTTTTGTGTAGGACTAGAATTCGGGTAGAGGTGTGTTGAAGCTTGCAAAGCCTTCATAGATTTTTCAAGAGCACCAGCACCAATAAAAAACTTGGGAACACTCGGTCTAGTGAAAAGTGAAGGAAAAAAGTCATTCTTTTTTAATGTTTAAATATTGAAAGTAATAAGAACGAAATAATAATGAGTGTTAGTCATATAATATGCTTATGAGGCAATGGAAGTTGTGAATGTCATTAATTTAAAAAATCAAATTACTTAAAAAAGTTTATGCAAATATCTATTTTGGGTTTCATCTATTCTACATGATGTACGAAAAGGATACAAGGTCTTGGTTGGAGCTATGTTTTCTTTACTCCCATCACCAGCTCCAAGTTTATCATAGTTTGGCCTTGTAGTTGGTGGTATTGTCTCTGGTGATTGTGACCTAGATTCAACTGGCTCAATTTCAGGTGAGACTGCATGTGACATTGATTTAGCACACGGTGAATTCATTTCAGGTGACCTTATCCTAGTTTCAGCAGACTCTGTCCTAGTTTCAGGTGACCTTGTCTTAGACTCGGGTGACCTTGTCCTAGTTTCATTTGACCTTGTCCTAGTTTCGGGTGACCTTGTCCTAGTCACAGGTGACCTTGCCTGAGATCCAGGTGATCTTGTCCTGGGTTCAGGTGACCTTGTCCTAGTTTCATATGATCTTGGCCCTGTCTCAGGATACCTCATTTCTGGTGATGGTGACCTTGACCTTGTTACTGGAGATTTTGATCTGATAAACTCTTCATGGGGTTTTACTGAATGTGTAAATAAATCATTCCCAATTTCCTGATTCTGTCTCTGTTGGGATTTATTAGTTTCATATGTTTCCCATATCTCAATTTCATTTTCAGAACCCAAGTCTTCTATACTGACATTGTCATTCACCTCATTTTGCTGATCTTGTCTTGATCTATGTGAGTCTAAACGTTTGGTATCATTATCAAATGTCATATTTCTATTGCTATCATAGAATTCATCAGGACTTTTTGACTGTTCTTCATCGTTATTGGGATGTGAATTTCCCTTAATGCTATCATCGATGGCATTTTCAGATTTGTAGTCTTGATCAGACATTGTCTCAGCTTGAATGTAACTACTGTTCAATTCTGCTCCATCATTTGGAAGACCATAATCTAATCTTCTATTTGCTGATTTAGCATTGCTGTCAATTACCTTTGTACTACCAGTAGTTCTAGCATGATCTTTCATTCCTTTATCACCTATAGAATCTGTATCATATGACTGGATGTCATACCTTGCATTTTCTAAACATGGGTCGTTATCACCAAGGGTGATCTCAGAGTCTTCACTAATATTGCTATGTTGAGTGAAATAATTTGTCTGTTCAGTATTGGTGGGGAGTTTGTCACTGTCTCTATCATATCTGGGAGCTTCAAGTGTTTTAGGATATGTGAGATCTATGTCTAATTCATTTGCAGGCATATGATGAATGTTACTAGGGCTCGATTTATCTGCTTGGAGAGGGCGAATGTCTGGGTGTTTGTTCATCTCTCCAATCTCATTGTATGCACTGTTCATAAAAAATGCAGATGAGACATCATTAAGTGGTTTCACAAGTACAATGTCGTCATCATTTATGTCACTGCCAGAGTCAGAGAATGCACCGCTGTATTGCTTGAATTGTTCATCAATAAAGTCAGTGCCATCAAAACTTCCTATATCACCAGGTATACTAAAAGACTCCTTAGTTGTGTGACTTAAGAAGTCATCAGATTTGGCACCACTTCTCGGTTCAGTTTCTTGAGCACCAGTTTCTTCCTGAGATGGATATTTATGCACTTGTCTATCCTGATTGTTTAATTGAAATTCCTCAGCTTTCTGTGGGACATCTTTGTTGTGTCTCCAAGGGTTCTCTCTTTCATGAAAATGATCAACATTAGGCTCTGAATGATCGTCAGTCAACAGACCCCTTGGTTTATTACTAGAATGAGCCAAATTATGTCCAATATCCACCTCATGTTTATCACTTTCAGTTGTAATGTCTCTAGAATATAGATGCCTTGAGTTCTCATTATAAACAGGGTCAGGAGGAGTTGTATGAGATGCAACATTATACTCCTGATGCTGGTTAGTTAAACTGTATGTCCCAAGTGGTGATGCCAATTTCTCTTTCAGTCTTAGGTTTATCACATCCAATTCTGCCATGTTGGACCTGATTAAGAGAAAAACATGTTAATATTAGGAAGTCCAGATTAAAGAATGGAATAATTGACATTCAATCTGGTTGACTGGTTCATACCATGTTTCATTGAAAAAGACTTGATCCATGGGCCACAACTACAAAGCACATATTGTTTTATGATTTACAGAAAATATTTCTGTCTTAAAAAGCATACTGAGCAGAATCCACAAACAAGAGTTGGGATAGCCTAGTATCAATATAATAACTTTTAAAATAGAGCTCGCAAAGAGAATTATCAAAGGGAACTATAAAATATAATTGCAGTAAATTTTTCAAAGATTAAAAAATTGCTTAGAAATATTGCTTCATATGGCAACCTATATATATATATATATATGACAGCTATTAAATGTAAATAACATATTTTTGTTTACAAACCTTAAATTCTGCAGTAGTATTGATTTAGATGTGGAGCCATGATCATCATGTTCAGAAAACTCTGGTTGCCATGACAATTTATCTTTGGGGTTCCCATTTAGTCTTTCATGGAGTGACATGTGGAAACGTTTCACATTTTCTCTGTGCTCTTCAAAATGTGAAAGACCTGATTTTTGTTCTGAAGATGTAGATATTTTCTCCGAGATAAAGCTGATGTTTTGCTCTGTGTGTCGGGAAATATGACTAGGGAATGTTGGGTAAGTTGCCGTTGTAAGGAAACTTGCATTTGTGGAATACTGGAATAAAATAAAGTCACAGGTTCAATTGTTTCATAAATACCTTATTAATCCAAAGTAATACAAGGTAAAAATTAATAATTAAATATACAAAGACAGAACATACAAAAATATAAGTTATCCCTAAAGACATATATACTCTGTCAATTATCAGACCTTTAGAGCCTGGACCCTGCATTTCCAAATTATTATCAATTACACTCAGCATGTTTTATCAAAATCATCGTATGATCTCAGAATACAAGGCCTTAAATACAGTACTAAACTGTACTATATTCTAACAAGGCATTAACTTGCAAAATGTTACCACTTGCTATTTGTTGCAGACACCGATCGCAGACTGCCAAACGCTGAACACCTTCCACAAAAAATTGGAGATTTTTAACACTCGTGTTGTTGACATAAAAATGTTTCAGTTGAGAGGAAAGAGGGTTAGAGTGTTGTGATTGAGATTACTTGAGACTGCTATTATTAATATACTCATATTACCTGACTAGTGTGGTTATCTATAGGTGTCCCTTGGGGTAGAATATGTCGAATGCTTTCCAAAGGCATGACACCAATCTGAAATATTAAACATATCTCTTACATTAACGTATATTCGGGTGGACATAAAAATGGGCCATCCACTCGATTTCTCTAAAACAATCTGCATCTGCCTCTAAGTATTAACACTGGAGACATGTTAATATAAAATAAGTGATTTATAATAAAGATATATTACATGTTTTATGCAGCAGATATACTTTTGGCAGTGTACTACATAAACACTTTATCTGAATTTGCCCCCTACCCACCATTTCCCATTGGTTTACATGGGAATGACGATTTTCAAAAATTTATCAAATTTATCATCAATTTTCGACCAACAATTGTAATCAAGGAAAAAGATTGGGAAAATTTGGAGGCATTGGAAATTAAGTCAAGTTACAATCCCATCAATATAATAAGTATTTTCTTCACAGGTTATGTAAATAAAAATTCAAACATAAAAAACACTTTACCTGAATTTGGCCCTTGCACTGGCCCATGAAGTCTGATATGTTGTACCATCCATATATCTGGTGTAATCCAGCCACCAGGGGTCGAAGGTCAACAGACACAAACCCAAGAACAGAATCAGTTGATTTCTCTGGAAAAGATCAATATCAAGGTGATTTTCATCAAAGACATATAAAATATTTTATATGACTTTTTTATGACTCTGTTTTCATCAATCAAGTCCTGTTTTAGTCTGTTTGACAAGTCATCACAACTTTAAAGTATATACATGTAGATTCTAGAAATACTTGCTAGTTTATCATACTTACATTTATAAAAGTCTTTGATGGAGCTGTATTTTACTTAAATCAAATATAATCTAGTTACAATTCTTGTGAAACTTGATGTGTACCCCTCCCTCTATTAATTGTCTCTAATCATTTTATGGTATTGGACTGATTTAGATTAGTCTAGTAACAACAAGACACTGAGTGAACACCTTTGAATAGAATAGACAGTTTAAGAAACAGAAAATCCAAAATGACCACAGGGGTTTGATAAAAATACTTTTATACTGATTTCTTTATTACCTGGACTTTCTGTTGTTCCCATTGGCTTTTGCCAGACTTTGAACACGGCACTCTGGAAGCAAATGGCTAGTGATTATTACTCAACATTAACATTAGCACTGTTTGAAATCAGAACTTATCAATTTCTTGATTTTTCTGATATCTGTAATTTTCCTGTTTTTTTTAATTCTAATTTTACATTTTTAAAATAGGTATGTATCCCATACCTTTGGGAGGTTCTCTGGACACAATGTGCCGGAATATATTGTGTTTCCTTTTCCCCAAGATTTTTTGTGCAACATTTAATGATTTTGTAATTTTTTGTGCAACATTTTAAAATTTTGTAATTTTGGGCAACAATTAAAAATTTCCTTGTTTTTCATTGTAACATTTTAGAGGCCCATCTAATTGCACCGAGGAGCATTTTGGTTTTATAAAATACATGGAGGTGCTGCGCCTCAGAGATTTCAATGTGGGGAGAGCACTGAAAATATATGCCTAAAGCCATTTACATAAGGCCAATCCTACCTTGTTGTTCCCTACTAATAGATCCTTGTTCAACAATACATCTTTAGCATCATCATATATTGGACTATTGGAACCATGTACAATACTTGTATTCTGGACACCCTGTAGTGTATCATATGTTACATATGTGCTTGGCTGTTCCAATGAATCACTATAATAGAAGACAATACATCTTTAGCATCATCATATACAGGACTACTGGAACCATGGACAATGCTTGTATTCTGGACACCCTATAGTGTATCATATGTTACATATGTGCTTGGCTGTTCCAATGAATCACTATAATAGAAGACAATACATCTTTAGCATCATCATATACAGGACTATTGGAACCATGTACAATACTTGTATTCTGGACACCCTGTAGTGTATCATATGTTACATATGTGCTTGGCTGTTCCAATGAATCACTGTAATAGAAGATTTCAATATGTTCCATTTAATAAATCAAGTAAATTTGTAAGAACATGCTAAAAATGAAAATACCCATATATTAGTTCAATTTCTTCCTAAACATCACCTAGGAATATTTACAACTATTGCATATTAACATGTGCATATTCTTTCAAGGTGCATTTTGTATCAGCAAATCAAATTCACTAGAAATGTGTCCAAAAATAAACGTCTAAATTGCAGTCTCTTAGAACAGTAAAAATGTTAAGACATTGTCCAAGTCTTAGGTGAATTCTGGAGAATTTGTCAATCATAGTAGGCAGAATCAACACACATCTGCACCGCCTTGACATATATACTGAAGTAAAGCTGTACTGAACAAGGCATTAACAAGCAAAATGTTACCACCTGCCATTTGTTACAGAATGCCAAACACTAACTGCTGCTAAAAAAGATAGATACCACTGGCGGATCTGGGGGGGGGCCCTTGGGTGGGCCCCCAAAAAAATGTTGAGCCTAAAAAAGGCCCCAAAAAGTGGGACTTTTTGGTAATAAATGGGCCTTCTAAGATCTTGTTTTTTTAATTTTAGGCCAAATTTTGAAGGAAATGGGCCTCAAAATTTCAAAATTTGGGCCCACTTTTTGTTTTTAGGGGCCCAAAATTTTTTCCACGCAAGCACGGAAGTTTTTTTCTCAGACAAGAAGTTTGGGCCCCCCCTTTGTTGGTTCCCAGATCCGCCACTGGATACTATAACAATCTGTCACCACTTGTGGTGGTGACATCAAAATCATTTTCAAGCTCATCCATTCTTTATAAGTACCAACCTTTGCTTGCTTGGAGCACTTGGTAAATGCATGGCCCTCTCTACTAACACCTTTGCCTTGAACCCCTTTTCCAGTACCTCCAAGTCAACACCAGCTCCTTCCTCAGAGCAGTCTTTGGTTGGATTGGGTTTGGAGGTTGGCAAGTGTTCTGGTTGGTATGAGGGGTCTGTATTGCGCTGCAGTGGGTATATGGGGTCTTCTTCAGAAGCCTCTGAACTGAGTGTGTCCTGAAATGGTGCAAAGTATGACATTACTCTATCATGATGGCATTTTAAATCAAAGCATTAAGATGAAAAATGTCACCACCTGCCATTTGTTTCAAACATCGAATGCTGACTAACGAACACAAACCACTGAACACCATCCACAAAATATGTCATCACTTGTGGTGGTGACATAATAAAAATTGAATAATTTGACTATCACATATAAATTGGATGGAGAGAGAAGAGGATACATTATCTCCAAAACAGTAAGAGATTCCTAAGTATGGATTCTGGTTCAAAAATTACATGGCTCACAGCTTTGTTTGTGTAATTGCTCTTTATAGAGCATATATTTCTCTAAATCTGCTATTTTGTGAAAAGAAGTGCCAACCAAACTTATGACAAAAGTTTGGTTAACACATCTAAGTCTGAAATTACGTGGGTTGATCATAAAGTTCTCATAGTATCTCTCTTATTTCTTTATTTTTCAATATTTTCCTGTGAAATTTTCAGAATGTGCAGCATGGAATATTACGAGAACTTTATGACCAACCCTCATATACCTTTCACTTAATTCTAGGACTTAACGTATATATATACAATTTAATAAGTTTTGCAACTTATAACACAGCAAGGCTGACCTGCATGCACATTTCACAATTGTTTTCATCATGAGTGATATACGGTAGTTTAATATTTGGGACTATTCCAAGCATATATCGCTACTGTATATTCATCTCAAGTTTGATTTTAACACAATGTTCAATGTGAACCTAACTACCATATCATCTACACTGTTATTACAACAGATAGCAAATGCACTCTGCTCTTGAACAACAATAACAAGATAAGGAATCAGGTCTTCATTTAAAATCACACTGCACCTTAGTTGGGGCACACAGGGAACTAATATTTACAAGCTACAAGAAGCATCTTAAAGGTAGGTTTATGGCTTGGAATTTTTTTTAGTAAAAAAGCAAGTTGCATTAAACCTATCCAGTCTTGCAATAGAGGAATTTACCCAGAATTCACAGATGAACTTATTTTCATGCAAATTTAAGGTAAACATGCTTACAAAGTGGCTGTGTGATAGGTTGTAAATACATCCTGATATGAGTTTCATTAAACTGTGAAAGCTTTGGAGCCAAATGGGTGAAAATACATCTGTGGGGTACTGTGGCCAAAACCCTGAAGACAGAATTACACCATAAAGAGCGCTAACCTTATAAAGAGGGGGCACCTCAGAGTTCAGAGATGAGCTCAACTCAGTTGAAATTTACATAAAGATATCTTTACATTAATTATTGATTAAAACATCACATGGAAACTGGAAATTTGGTGAAATAAAAGAAGTTTAAGGTAATCTCTGAGCTCGAGGATTTTCCCTCCTCTTAACCTTTAACAAACTAACTAATGCCTAATTGAATCATTTCAGTGTAACCATGGCTAACCAAAATGGTGTCAAGTCCCAAAATGGCACAAAGAAGAATGGGCCTCTAGAAACGATAGACCTGGCTGCTGCTCTTGAGGCCCCTGAAGATGCGGCACCAGTCATAGCTAGGGCTTTAGAGAATGAAGGATTCCTCTACTTGGTAAACATTCCAGGTTTTGAATCTGGTGAACTGTTCAAAGCTACAAAATGGTTCTTTGATTTACCACTTGATCAAAAGATGGCACTGGCTAGGAAGGCATTTGTGCCCGAAAATGATAATTCTTACAGAGGCTATTACCCAGTAATCCCCGGTGGACATTCTCATAAGGAGGCATTTGAGACGGGAATGTTCGGAGATTTTGATTTGGAAAAACATAAGAAGAAAACGTACATAGATGGCAGGCCATTAATGCGAGAGATTGTCAATGAAGGAAATGTTTGGCCCGATCCTGACTCAAAATATCCACATTTTAAAGAAACTATCAAAAAATATTATAATATATATCGTAAAACAGGCGAGCGTGTTCTACGGTTGATTGCCAGAAGCTTAAAACTGGAAGAAACCGCCTTGGACCATCTGTACCAACCAGATGTCCTAGCTACATTCAGACTGCTTCACTATCCATCCCGAGTGAACATCCCAAAATCAGAGATCCCTGACGAAGCTAAAGATGGCGACACTTTAATGACGACAGGCCCCCATGCAGACTCTACTTATATAACACTCTTGGCAACGTTTGACAATTGGGGGCTGCAAATGCAACAGGATGGGGAATGGATCGATGTACCCCCAATAAAAGATAGCCTTGTTATGAATATTGGTGCACTGATGACGGAGTTGGTTGGAGGGAGGTTTAAAGCCACGATTCATCGAGTTGTTGACCTGGGAGAAGACAGATACTCCGTCCCATTTTTTTATTCTCCTAACTTTGATGCTGATATCAGCAAGACATATGATGGCAAAGAGATTGAGCGTCCAGGTCAATATAAAAAGTTTGGGCCATGGATGTTAAACAGAACCAGCCAATTTAAGGAATATGCAACTACTGACTTTGGAGTATTCATAGAGTAATCACTGAACAAAGACTTTGACTGTTTCAAGATATTGTTACAGATGATGTATATCCATGTGGTAATATCCAACAATGAATGGTGTTCATATATTCCGTCCCATTCTTTTATTCACCTAACTTTGATACGGATATTAGCAAGATACATAATGGTAAAGAGATTGACCTTCCTGGTCAATATAAAATATATGGATCTTAAATAGAATCACACGATTAAAGGAATTTGGAGTCTATACTGAAACTAATAATCGGTATTCTTCAGACAGTTAAAGGAATATTCCACCAAACATTTTTTTGTTTCAATATGCTCTATATGTTCAAAAAACTTAAATCTTAAAGATTTATCTAATTTTTTCAAAATGTTCACAATAAAAACTGATAATGAATTCTTTGAATGTAGAATGATTTAAAATTAAAACTCACTGCTTCATCATGTTCACCAATAGATGGAGTAAGGGTCACATGGGCCTGTACATATGCGCCACCTAGACTCGGGCACCCACTCTTGAACAGAGGATACACACCACTGAAAATCAAATAAAGCAACTGGATTAAAAAAACTAAACATAAGAAGAGGTATAAATAGGTAACTTTTATGATTGATGAAACAATTTCTATTTATGGCCAAATTGCAAATGAATAAACATTATTAAAATGCAAGACCGGGGCACTGGATTCAATTATATGAAAGACTCAAGATTGATGTCAAATAAATGTGACTTCTAATTTCAGCTTACCTAATTCTGTGTTTCTTACGCCATCTTTTATCAGAAAGAGATGACATATTCATATAAGCCGATCCAATCAGCTTATCACGATTTCTTGGACGTATTATTTTCTTATCTCTTTTTCCATTGGTTGCCAACCAGATTTGAACTTCTAAACGCTCCTCTCGCAAATACCTTATAAATAATTAGAAAACGACGTTTAACTTATTTGCTAAATCTTCACCAAATGATGACTTTGTACTGTAGAGAAAACTGCTCGCCATTGCTTATAGGCTATTACCATAATAGTCATTAAATTAGAAAAAAGAACCTAAGCAGATGGATATTTGATTTGATCTAACAAGAGTGGAAAGAATTTGTAGGACTTGTAAATATTAGAAGCAATCTATGATCACTCACCAAGATAATGGCTCAGTGTGATTCAGATGAAAGGTCTTGTGATATCCCATTGTACATGTAACAAAATCTCCTTCTATTGTGACATCACAGGGTCTAGAACACACAGCGCCTAAAACATCAGAATTGAAATAATACACATAGTGAATCTGATAGAAGATTTAGAGGTTACTGTTACTTGTTCAGAGGGCAACTTTTTTAATAGACAAGTTAATAACTTTACATTTTCTCTGGTACAAGTATTCTCTCTCTACGCTATAGGATGTGCTTTTATATCAACAATGTGCAAAAATTCAACTTTGCAACAGAAATGTCACAACTGGTCACATCAATGTAAACTAGTTTCCTCAAGTTTTTGACATGTTTCATTCCTTGAGAGAGTAAACATCTGACCAACAAAATATGTCCAAACACAACTTGTATAGATTGTAAAAGACAGTGTCTAACAAAGAGCAATTTAAGTGAATAGATATATGTAACAGATACATGTATATTTGTTCCTTTATTCATTTATCTGTGACAGAGACATATATCACACCAGAATAGCCTGACAATGGTCAGATACCGCTGTCACAAATGGCAGACATAACTGTCCCTTCAACTGTTTAATCAATTGGTCCTCATTTCATGGGATTTTATCAATTTCAATCAAATTAGGTTGTGAATGGCCACAGTATAGCGTCTTCAATATTGTCAATGACAACGGAATCTGAATTTGAACAGCATATGGTAATCACTAATTACAGTGTCCGTTGTCTACGAGATGACTTATTTTCGTCTGTTAAACGTATTTTACAAAAACAAGAACTTATTATTGATGATGAACTTTTGAAAGATTTATTACATGATTTTAGATTAGTGCGCCATACTGGAAAATTCCTGAATGCTGCTCTTATCAAAAGAGCAAGCTTCGTTTAATAATCTTATAATATTATTTTCAAATATATTGTACAATGTGCCCCATAAGCCTAAAATAGGCTGGGTATCTATACGAGGCACTTAAATAAATAAATATACATACATACATATATTCACTCTGTAATATATGAGCAATATTTAGTTTCCACACATTTTTGACATTATAAAATCCAAATATCTGACGAACAAAACATGTCCAAACATAATTTGTATAGAATGTAAAAATCAGTGTCTAACAAGAAGCAATTTTAGTGAAAAAATATCTAACAAATACATGTATATTTGTGGCGTTATTCACTTATCTGTGACAGACACATCTGTCATTCTTTAATAAAACATCACCTACCTCTATCATAAATCTTATATCGGATGTAACATTTAGTATCTTTGTCCAATTGCTTCTGATCTAATCTGAGGCCATTCTTTACAGGGAACCCAAGGGTGTCTATTGAGACAGTCAACTTACACGATCTCTCACTATCAGCATCTAAACAGAAGTTTGGTAAACAAGGCATTAACATGCAAAATGTCACCACCTGCCATTTGTTACAGATGACAAAAGCCAACCGCCAGCCACAAAAAGGTTGGATGCCATGCCTTGTGGTGGTGACCTAAAAGCTTATGTCAAGACACCATATTTTTTTTATTTGATATGTGTCTTATGTAAATGTTTTGATTGATATGTCAACTTCACCCATTAGATCTCACCAATTTAAATCCAGCACTGGTATGTACAAAATAATACTCTATTTTTTCCTATCATGTCCCAGATGTTAAATAGACCCCATTAAACCAAGAGGCTATATAGAGCTAAGCCTAGAACTAAGGCTTAAATGTGCTTACCATCTTCAAATTCTCCAAGAGATACATCTTCAGGAGACCATCCAACATGGCGGGCAGCGTTTATTACCCGGTCACGATCTTGCATATGTGGAAACTTGATTGACAGTTCTAATCCTCCCACAATACGGTGGAGACCTCTGGTGAGTAAAATGCCGTCTGCATCTTGGTTATTTTTCCAACCACTAGATGTTGCTTCAATAGGAAACCATCCTGATATTCCTGTATAGTATAATAAAAACACTCTATTACAATGGTGGTATTTTCATTGTGCACTCCAAACCCATTGGAACCAAATTGCCTATAGTTCACTCTTATTGTTCTTTAATATAAATCAACATATTTTGAACCAAGACAAAATTTTGAAACTAAAACCAAATTTATTTTGAATACAAAAACAAAATTAAAATCAAATATTGATTACAGAAGATAAATTACTATGTCTATATATTGTTACCTGTCTTAGAAGCCAACACTTGCTTTAAACTAACTCTGCATTTTCCAAGATGGACATCTGAAGTTTTTGTTACCACTGCTCTTCCAGTGACTGAGCTACCTCCCTCTTCCATTATGTAATCTAAAGCAAACAAAACCTCAATATTTGAAAATACATGTACATGTAATCGTATCATATCAGTTAAAAACTAAATTCATTGTAGTTGTATAAAAATAAGGAATTGGCATTAAGTTATTATTAAACTTTTTTTTTATTATTCTTATATCAATCATTTTATTTTCTACTGAACAATCAATGACCAATAAATGTCTACAAACAATACTTTGACATACCAGGTCCAAGAGATGGCACTTGATGCCACACATCTAATGTAACTTCTCCAGTTTCAAGTATTTCAGCAAGACTCAAAGCATCTGAATCCGTATCAGTCCAAATAAGGGGGCACGGAAAGTCCATCTCTTGTAGAAACTCAGGGGTAAAAGTCCTAGCAACAGTTCTGGTAGTCCTCTCATCTGTTTTGGTTAAGAATGACAGGTTTATTTTAACAAATGGGTTAAGCCCTACTTCAGATGCATACTGCATTCCACTGTCTAATCTAGCAACTTTTTCACCAGCTGTTTTCAGTCCTGATGCACGAAGAACCCCAATTGTTAAACACACTTGTTGGTTCCCCATTGTGGCAATAGATGGTGCTGATGGTTGAGCCCCAACTGATGCTGGTATGACAGTATTTGTTTTGTAGTTTATGCTAATGTCTAAAAGTCCTGAACCTGAACTTTTAGCAATTTTTTCAGCATCGTCATCATCGAAAGCTGCTTGCAGAGGGAGAGCGTAGGTTTGGACGGTGGCTTCACCCCGTTTCTGCATAGTTACCATAGCACAGAGTTTAGCCAATGGGAGAGTGGTACGAGCTATGAGCTGGTCTCGTATGTTAGGATGATAGAATCTGCACCAAACTTCAAATACAATACCACCACTACCTCCACCTGCCCCAGAACATGCTGCAATGTAAACATGAATGATGGCTGGTGTTGTAATACAATATAATACAATACAATAAAATAAAATACAGTACACAGAAATTCAAACAATCAATCATATATATCAAAAATCTACTGTTGTGGCATAAGAAAACTTTATCTTATTAGAGGGAAGAGGTAAATGATTTCATAAAAAATTCATATAAAGTACAGATTTTTGGCCTAGAAAATGTAAATTAATCTGCATTTTCAACCTCTATTACATGGGCAGGGAGGGGTATGTACCATAATAAAATCAAATTCATTTTCCATATGGTGAAAATATATCAAGACATATTAAAAAAAGTGTTTCAAAAGAGTACATGTATTGTTACATTTATGTGTTTACACTGAATGCAACAATGGCATCAGTATATATATATCACCTGTTAGAATCTCCCTCTGTACGGGTGTGCCATCTGCTAGTACAATCTTGTGCCTGGTAACATCATGGAATGTGGGGTCAGGCATACAAAGAGTAGTAGATGTCCTGTAAGGCTTCAGACTCAGACCTAAACATAACAGTTAAACAAGGTATTAACATGGAAAATGTCACTACATACCATTTGTTGCAGATGCCAACCACCAAACACCAACTGCCAACCACCAAACACCAACTGCCTACCATCAAACACCATCCACAAAATAGTTGAAGACTATAACAATATGTCATCACTTCTATATATACTGTTAATAACTTGATTGATCAATGAGTTCAAGTCAAAGATCATGTTTAAAGAATTGCTCATGTGACAAAAAATGAGACAAACACAGGATCTGTGACCATAAGTGAAAATCCCCACTATGGACCTCCATAAAATGGATATAGAGATTAGTTGAGACCAGCCAATTTTCATTTGTACATGAACTGTTGACAGATGAAAGGATGAAGAAACACAAATGGAGAATTAGATGGATTGATATATTAATAGCGGAAGGACAGAGAGACAAGTAGGATTTCCCTGTGAGCCAATAAAACGCCCAAAATAATTGTTTTTGCATGGATCTGTTATCATCTGTAAGAGAATCGTAACTTATAATTGTTTTTGCATGGATTTGTTATCATCTGTAAGAGAATCGTAACTTATAATTGTTTTTGAATGGATCTGTTATCATCTGTAAGAGAATCGTAACTTATAATTGTTTTTGCATGGATCTGTTATCATCTGTAAGAGAATCGTAACTTCTCAGGATACTATGTGGTAATAGTAATCCTTTATTAAGTTCAGTACAACATTCAAATGAAGCAAGGTTGTACAAACAAATACACACATCAATATTCACTCACCAGCTGAATGCAGACTGCCTTGGTCTTTACACTGTGTAGGAAAGTGATACTGTACAAAGACATCAGCTTCTCCCCACACCATTGAGTCAAACAGATCAAGTCCCCTCAAGCCTGTAATGTCCACTTCAAACACATGTTCTGTTTGTCCTGCTAGAGGATTGGCCACAACTGGAGATGTATCGGATTCTTTTCTTAGATCTTGTCTGAAATAGTGTCAAAGATGATGTTAAACTCTCATGAAATTCACAAAAAAATCTGAGAACAAATACTTTTATTATATCAATATATCAGGTCCTCTTAGCCAGAGATGCTTGCCGTGCAAGAATACTGGACATTACTGCGACGGTCTTTGCTTTTTTTCTTAGATTCTGTCTGAAATGTTGTGAACAATGAAGGTTTTTTCTTGAAATTGAAAAAAACTGAAAGAAAACAGTGACGTATTACTAAGAAAACTAACAAGAAGGTGATTCTTTTCTAGACCATTACTTCTAAAATCCTTAAAGTGCACCCGCATAAGCCTTTTTTACATACCTCTCAAAGTATCCTTGTGGTTGAAGAGGCCTCTTATCCAAGGACAATACACCATCAGGTACCTTCATCTGTTCTAAATTTCCCACTTGAGCCTCAGATCCCATTGCAAGAAGGACTCGGAGCTGACCATATTGGGCACCATTGAAAGGACTCATTACCGGAAAGTAATTGTCTGCAGCCACAACTGGGTACTATAATAAACCAAGACATAAAAAAATGAATATGGCAATTTGTTATTGAAAAATTCAAAATGCTTGCCAGGTAATTTACCAAGCATGCCCAAAGCCTGATCAGATTTTGATACATCTCTGCTCTTGCATCGAAGTTAGCAGTTTTCCTTAAATTTGGATAACAAGATTCATGTGGTGCCTGTAGACCCTCCTTGTCAGCATGAGACAAGAACAATTTATCACTTTGAAAAGTGTGATAAAAATAAAGTTTAGAATAACCATGCAATACATAAGTATGCATATGAACAAGTGTTGTTGCAATGAGCCATGATAGAGAAGCAATTTTTGTAGTATGTACACCCCATATTTGCAATAGGTTTCTATATGTAATAGTTTTATATCAAGAAACACCTTACCTGAGATCTTAGTAGAGACTTGGCAATTTTCTCTTCTCTGAATGACATGTAGAATTGATGCAAAGAAAGTTTTGTAATCCCAACAAGTTCATCATTCTGTCCTGTAGTTTTCTTGTCCCAAATCTCAATCACCATGAAGTTGTTGCGCATTCTGTCCAATAGAGGGCGAGTTATTTGCACTGGCGCCACCTGGAGAGAAAATACAAGTCTGTCAACTGCAATTGCCCTAATATGGCAGGAATTTGTGTTCACATCATATTTACTACTTCATAAAGTGTATGTTTTAAATAGCTCTTGGATTAAAAGATGGCGTATTGTTGAAAGTTATCAAAAATTAATGGATAATGTCATGCAAAAAACTTCGCCATCTTTCATTGGCATTGCTAAAAACTTGACATATATAAATTGATAGATAGAAAATATATTTTGATAATCTAGTGTCAACTCTGATGTGGTTTGTCTGAGGTGTTTTTGGTGTCAAATGAAAGATCTGGTACTTATCAATCCATTGGAAATACCATGAAGATCAAAAATAAAACTTCATTTTGCCGATAATACGCATGACATGTACATGTAGTTCCCTTAAGTGTAATTAAAAGTGTAGTGTTACCTGCATGAAGTTGAAGGTTGGTTCTGTTGTGCCCCAGCATATGTTGGAAGATATAGCATCTTGACACCAGAACATCCGACATACAACATACAGATTCCTGGTGTTACGCCCACCATGCATTCCTGCTGGAATTAGCATGAGAAAATATTAATATTTTTTTCTAAAAATACCAGTTGTCTTAAACGAAGATATGTACGTAGGCCAGGTAGTCTATCATGTGAAAATGTCAATGGCAGTTATTCCCCTGGTTTTTTACATCCAGATATGCAGATTTGAACCATTCTCTAACTTTAGAATATCATACCATTATATGGCTGTGGAGGTGTAGATAGGGAATGGCCTGTATTGACGGGTGGTCTGCCTTGTAATGTGATCCCTCTTCCCTCAGGGATTATCAATATTGTATGCAGTGTCATGGCATCTTCCTGAAATATTTACAAATCGGTCTATGAAAATGCTGGAAAGATTCTTTGTCCATAATGTCTGATTCAATTGTCATATAGCAGCCATATTTTAGAAATAATCATGTAGAAATAATGACCTTTTTTCTATTTAAGCCCCTTTCTTTCACCAAATTCTTATTATCCAAATCAATTAAAAAATAAAATTTCATGAGATGAAAAAAATAAATTATTTTTGTTAAAATCACCCCATGAACTGGTAATGCGTTATTAAACAAATTTAGACTTTTGCTTTTTGGAGACCATTGACTAAGAAGCTCATATATGCAATTCTCTGAATATGCCTACCTCACTTGAGAAATGAGTTGTCTGCTTATGAAGACCAGTAACTCCCTCTGATGCATGACTGATTTCAACATGTCTGATATCAGTCTGTGTAGTTTGACTCGATAGAGAGGATGTCTGTGTTTCTAGAACAGAACATCTTTGAATTATGAATGTTGACGGAAACCTTGAACTTTAAATGTATAAATTATTTATAAAATTTCTTTTTTTGTTATACATATATATACACATTTCAAAGAACCTCCTAAACATTTTAAAAAGCACTAACATATAATAAAAGCTTAAAATCATATGGTTAACAATTCTAGGTGCAGTTACTGAATAAATGATACTTTCAAATGGTATTCCAATTTCAAATAAATTGTCATGTAGTGATGGCCTGGTTTTGATCCTAGGTACTCAAAAAATATCTGCTTCAGCAATGATGTCTTGTAGAAAAAGTGAAATGGTAGAAAAAAGTGAAATGAATTATAGTTCCCTGCAAAACTGAATCAGGGAAACATATGAAATCAAAACCCAACCCTTTAGAAGAAAGGGTTTGTACTCTTTGTTTTTTTATTTTTTTTATTTATAGTTTATTTTATTTACACAAAATGCAATAGTTAGTACAATACAATACAATTTGGCTAGGCTCAAAGAGAATTATTAGCCAAGTATGAATGCAATATATAAAACCTTATAATCAAGGTAACATCTTTAAAGTTCACTCAACAGCGGCCTGGGTGATGGCTGCACACTTTTCTAGAAATATTGCACTGAGACTGAGTATTTTGATATTCAAACATCTGGTAAGTGATGGAGTACCATATAAGAATAATTGTAATTTTTCCATTTTAGTTTTAAATGTATTAAAGTATCCGAACTTTAGTTGGCAGAGTTGTGCTTCAAAGTCTACTAAAAATGGTTTCCTGAGGGGACAATTGAAAATAACATGGTGTGTGGTTTCATTATCTTGGTTGCAATAACATGTAGGACTTTGTACATTTGTAAAATTGTGGGCGTGAAGATGTGCTTGGAAAATAAGGTCTGATCTGACTCTATTTAAAATTATTTCTTGATGCCTTGTTATATGGAGGTCAGATGCTAAGATTACTTTAGGTGGAGCAATTTCTTCGAGGAAAGCTTTTTTAAATAATTTAACATTTTCTTTTTGCTTTATTTCAGGTTGGAGAGCATTCCATTCATTTAAAATTGAAATTATACATGATTTATTCAAAGTATTTGATCTTTTGACCGGAAGTTGATACATTGGGGTGTATCTTAGACCTTCTCTAATGGCAGGTCTGCGAAATTTAGTGAACATTTCTGAGACATACCCAGGCGCTAGATTTGCCTGAACTTTAAACATCAATGACATTCTGTGAACCTTTCTCTTTATTTCAAGAGAATTCCAGTTTAAACTTCTGAGCACTTTGGTGAATGATGTACCAAATATAGCACCAGAACAGATTAGAGAAGCTTTATAATAAATCTGATCAAGTTGTTTTAAATCCCTTGCTTTTCCACACCCATAAATGATGTCATAGAAGTCAAAATGTGGCATAATAAATGAAGAAAACTTCAATTTGAGATCTTTCCCTCTTAATTTAGGGGCTAATGCCTTTAACGGATTTAAAAGTTTGTCTATTTTGCTTATCATTTGATTAATGTGTGGTGTAAATCTTTGTAATTCATCATCTTTACATCATCTACTTATTCATGTTTTAACCTTATTAATAAGCCTAAATCATTTTTTATTTTTTTAATCTTAGATCTTAACCACTATTTTACAACAGACAATTCAATTTTGATCGATCGACAAAGAATATTCAGAAGCACAGGTACATTGCCTACAAGGCACCAGCATAAAAAAAATTGAACCAAACCCAATATTGGTGTATCAAAAGTTACATTTTCTATGACATATAGTCATCTGGTTTGGAAGGATTAAAAGCTCAGTAGTTTGAAATAAAGGACGTTCATGTGCAAAAAATAAAAAATATATGATTAAAAGATGTCATTACTGTTTATTTAGTCAAATAAGATTTGTTGCACTTTGCACCTTTACTTGTCAGTAAAGTTTGATATAAGGCCTACTACTTCAAACTTTCTTAGGGATGTTTCATTAATATGGACCTTACGCAGTTTTTGTGTTTTAAATTGATAGCCTGAATATATAAATAAATGTTACAATTTTTGCTTCATAATAACATTTCAAAGCATACGAGATGCTTACAGTGTATAGTATAGTATCTGCCAAGTGTCTATCAAAATATTAAATAATGATAAAAATATTTATTCAAATATCAAAAGACAGGTCCCTTCATTTGGTGACCTAATTAAAAAAGAGATCAAACGTTGCCATTTGATGACAAAGTTCCAGATTATAAGTTACACCAGTTACATTGACACAGATGCATTACGATTAGGTGAGCCAACCGTTAATATCATATTTATAATAAAAAATTCTTTTATCAGACATTTCTATACACTGAAATATGTCAAAAAACATCTGTATGATAATAGAATAGTTATGGCAATACTTTGCTTTTAAAGCAGGAAGTAGCAGTAACCAAAATGGCGGAGGCTAAAATGAGTGATGAGGACAAACTTGGAAAAGAACTCTGTGATCTGACAAATCAGGCACATCGGGATTATGAGAAAGAAGGACAAAAGATGATTCAGTTGGGGGATCTTTACAAGGGAATGTGTTCTAATAACTCCAAGAAGCATGAACATTATGTCAATGCCGTGGCACTTTATAAAGGGGCTTTGGCATGCAAGTCTGTGGGAAAAAAGAATCAAAATATTGAGCAATACCAACAATGGATTCAAATGTTATGTGATGAAGTTGAGATGATGTACCTCAAGAATATACTTGGCAATTTACCCACTACCCAAGATGCATCTGCTGGTATTGAGAGAGGTATGTCAAAAACAAATGCGCAGGGAAATCCCAAAGAAGGGTTGAATTCCTACAGATCCAGTCTTAAAGTAAAGATGAAGGACACAGTAGATTTAATGATGGAGTGGCCAAAGGCTGACAATGGACCAAATCCAGAGTATGAGGAATGCCTCAACCAAATGATAAGATCTATATGTGGAGACAACACAAGTTTCATGAAAGAATTCATTTCTGGGTTAATGGAGAAAAGCATTGCTGTATGTGGACCCCCACCCTGTAAATTCACTATGGTGGGACTGGGGTCTCTTGCAAGAGGTGAAAGCACCCCCTACTCTGATCTAGAATATCTGTTCTTAACAGAGAATAATAGGCATGATGAATATTTCCTTAATCTCCACTTCTACTTTCAAATAAAAGTGCTCAACTTGGGAGAGACCCCTCTAACTGTATTGGGAATAAAGGGGCTAAATGACTTCTACAAAGAAAAAGAGAAACTGTCACATGTATTTTTTGATGATACAACGCCTAGTGGGTTTAAGTTAGATGGCAATAGACCATGGGCATCTAAATTACCACCTGGTCATGAGGGAACAGAAAGAAAAGAACCAATCAAACTAATTGGAACACCTAAGTACATGGCTGAGCTTAGTACCCTAGAAGCTGATAAGAAAAATGGCTATCACCTAGCAGCTATCATCTCCACAGCAACAAAGATAATGGGGGATGAGGAGTTGTTCCAGGAATTCAGAGTTGAACTAGCTAGGGTCAGAAAACAAGAGAACACTGAGATGATGTTCAAAACTTGTATTGAGTGATGGAGGAAGATTGCACTAAATATAAAATAAGACGTGATTTTAACGTATATTTCACTCGAAATGCCAAACTAGACTATTATAGATTTCCTTCAATCATGGTCAATAATTTGAAAGATTTGTTTCAGATTGATAAAACATCGCCATGGGAGATCATTGATGAATTAGAAATATTCATTGGTAAGGAAAATTGTTCCCACTTGTTGCTGATGGTCAATTTTGTCATTGGAGTTAGGCTGTTCACATACTGCGTGAAGAACCAGCAGCACGATGCTATTCATATATGCACAGCTACACGACACTTATCTGGTGCACATTTACAAGATGTTTTGATGGACACTACAGCATCCTCTAGGGATGTCATTACGATTCCATTCACCAACTTGCTACAGCATTTCTTCCTCAGGTACATGAGCTGTTCCTTATCTGTCCCTGCAAGACTAAAAGATGCAGCAAACAAGAGTCCCAGTAGTTTTAAACAGCTGATGCAAGGATGTCCAATGTACTGTGGATGTAAATACTGCATCCTGTTAGCAAAATTATTAACAAACTTTCAGGCTGATGATGTCATTGATAAGGTAGATGTAGTGCTGAAATCTATAGAAGAATCATGGCACCACAAAATAGAACCTGCTGATAGAGCTAGAGATATAGTATTTGGAATCATCCAGAAGTGGTATCTTGAAATAGAAGATTATCATTCAATACTGAAGCTTCTCCAGGATGAGCTCCAGTCAAATCAACATCTTACCAGCAGCGAAAAAGCAAACCTTTTATATTACACAGCTGAATGTCAAACGAAGCTGGAAGAATACCCTACAGCACTAACATCTATTGAGGAAGCTATAAAGATGTCTCCAGCAAGTGATCTCTTTGCGCATATGATGCTGAAGGCTGAGATTCTACACAAACTGCAGGACTACACACAACTTGAGAAGTGTTGTAAGCGCTCCATGGAACTTCAATCTCAATGTGTGCCAAAGTTAAATGTGACCAAAGACACACTCGAGATATATTACTACTACACTGATGCCCTTATACAGAACAAAGAGTTTGAAGCTGCACTGGGTTACCTGGAAAAGGCCAAGTCTCTGTGTAAGCAAGGGGAGGAGATTCACTGGACATTTAAACAGTTCCTCCAGAGAATGATAACCTGTTTCATAGCCTTGGGAAAACAGGACAATGCTGAATATATCAGAAAACTCTTGGAACAACATAAGAACAAGTGAACATATCATCAATACTCCTATGAGAGATGTTTTATCAATATGATGTAAATCTTTCAAGATGAAAGTATTAAACTTACTATAAAGACACATAGGTAAATATATATTTAGCATTCAATCTGTAAGATAATAAAATGTTTAATACCTTGTTCATCAAGGTACATCTTGTAAGGTACATCAAGTGTATTTTCTAATTTGAGAATTAACAATATGTTGGACACTGAAAGAAACCATGCTAAATTATATTATACAAATGAACAGTTGTGAATGACAATTCATATAAGAAACACCCTGCAAGTTGACAATTTCTAAAAAATCCTGTACCTGATGACTTCATGTTAATAATTAACATCTGTAAACAAAAAAGGCATTCCATTTACACAGGTTTTACTGCAAATGTTTTTGTAAAATATCTTGCATCAAGCTCTTGTACAAATATACAGACCTTCTACACAAGGTACAAAAATAGGTAATGGGGTTGGAGGTGCTGCGCTGAGGCTTGATGCAAGACTATATCTACATATGTACAGTTTAAATGAGGCTAGGTGCAAGGCTGTACCTAGATATGGACAGTTTAAAGTTAGAATGAGAGATAAAGAGAGTGACAGCTACATTACAGTGCAAACAATTGCACTATTTATGATTTTGTAAATGATGTGTACTTTGGTATTTCAAATCAATTATCATTAAAAGACAGTGTTCCCTTGAATATTAAATTTTGATATTTATAGGGATACCAAGGAATGACAATGAATGGTCAGTCAAAAGAAACTGAAGGCACAGAGTTTGGAACAGTTGTCCTCTATCTCCGATTCTACCCTTAAATTAATTTTGTAACAGTGTATGTTCAGTAATATATCCTTCTTGTAAGCCTATTGCCATCTTGTTGTGGTCAATACTGTGAAAAGGTTTTGATATGGTCAAAATGCCCATTTAGTGTGTAATTCATTTCTAGTAGGCTTTCAAGATGCTTGATGTAATCAATATCACATGAAGCTTGCTTATAATATAAATATAGAAACATAGCACAAAGTTGCTAAAACTTGTCTCCTTATGGGGGAATTGGGCATATTAAGACATGATAAAACCAAAGACATTGTCTGTGGTATAATATTAATATATCAGTAAAAACCTGTGGCACAGGTATTCATCTCAATAGAATTAAAAATATTTATATGTTTTATATTGTATCTAATATCTTCAAGTTCAATATCAAAATGTTCAGTCCAATATCTACATGTTGTAATATCAAAATTTTCAGTTTACTATCTAGATGTTCAGTTTAATATAAAAATCTTCAGTTTAATAACTACATGTTCAGTTAAGTATCAACATGTTCAGTTTAATATCTACATGTTCAGTTAAATATCTACATGTTCAGTTAAATAACTACATGTTCAGTTTAATAACTACATGTTCAGTTTAGTATCAACATGTTCAGTTTAATATCTACAGGTTCAGTTTAATATCAACATGTTCAGTTTAATATCTATATGTTCAGTTTAATATCATCATGTTCAGTTAAATATCTATATGTTCAGTTTAATATCAACATGTTCAGTTTAATATCTACATGTTCAGTTAAATGTCTACATGTTCAGTTAAATAACTACATGTTCAGTTTAATAACTACATGTTCAGTTTAATATCTACATGTTCAGTTTAATATCTACATGTTCAGTTAAATGTCTACATGTTCAGTTAAATGTCTACATGTTCAGTTAAATAACTACATGTTCAGTTTAATATCTACATGTTCAGTTTAATATCTACATGTTCAGCCTCATGTAAATATGTTCAGTTTAATATCTACATGTTCAGTTAAATGTCTACATGTTCAGTTTAATTTCTACATGTTCAGTTTAATATAAAAATCTTCAGTTTAATAACTACATGTTCAGTTAAATGTCTACATGTTCAGTTAAATATCTACATGTTCAGTTTAATATAAAAATCTTCAGTTTAATATAAAAATCTTCAGTTTAATAACTACATGTTCAGTTTAGTATCAACATGTTCAGTTTAATATCTACATGTTCAGTTAAATATCTACATGTTCAGTTAAATAACTACATGTTCAGTTTAATAACTACATGTTCAGTTTAGTATCAACATGTTCAGTTTAAAATCTACAGGTTCAGTTTAATATCAACATGTTCAGTTTAATATCTATATGTTCAGTTTAATATCAACATGTTCAGTTTAATATCTATATGTTCAGTTTAATATCATCATGTTCAGTTAAATATCTATATGTTCAGTTTAATATCAACATGTTCAGTTTAATATCTACATGTTCAGTTAAATGTCCACATGTTCAGTTAAATAACTACATGTTCAGTTTAATAACTACATGTTCAGTTTAATATCTACATGTTCAGTTTAATATCTACATGTTCAGTTAAATGTCTACATGTTCAGTTAAATGTCAACATGTTCAGTTAAATAACTACATGTTCAGTTTAATATCTACATGTTCAGTTTAATATCTACATGTTCAGCTTCATGTAAATATGTTCAGTTTAATATCTACATGTTCAGTTAAATGTCTACATGTTCAGTTAAATAACTACATGTTCAGTTTAATAACTACATGTTCAGTTTAGTATCAACATGTTCAGTTTAATATCAACAAGTTCAGTTTAATATCTACATGTTCAGTTTAGTATCAACATGTTCAGTTTAATAACTACATGTTCAGTTTAGTATCAACATGTTCAGTTTAATATCTACATGTTCAGTTTAATATCAACATGTTCAGTTTAATATCAACATGATCAGTTTAATATCAACATGTTCAGTTTAATATCATCATGTTCAATTGAATATCAACATGTTCATTTAAATAACTACATGTTCAGTTTAATAACTACATGTTCAGTTTAGTATTAACATGTTCAGTTTAATATCAACATGTTCAGTTTAATATCTACATGTTCAGTTAAATATCTACATGTTCATTTAAATATCTACATGTTCAGTTAAATATCAACATGTCCAGTTTAGTATCAACATGTTCAGTACAAAAATCAACATGTTCAGTTTAAGATCAGCAATATCACTAAGTTAAATTTTATGACAACATGTCAGGTTAAAATAAGCATGTTCATTTTGATACTTCCATGTTCAGTTAAATATCAACATGTTCAGTTAAATATCACCATGTTCAGTTCAATATCATCATGTTCAATTTAATATCAACATATTCAGTTCAGTGTCATCATGTTCAGTTCAATATCAACATGTTCAGTTTAATATCAACATGTTCAGTTCAATATCAAAATGTTCAGTTTAATATCAACATGTTCAGTCCGATGTTCATAAGTTCAGTTTAATATCATCAGTATAATTCTAGGTTGATCAGAGGAACTTAAATATACTTAATATGCTTGAATAAATAATGAGTAAACAATAAACAACTGTCATTTTGTTTGCTATGAAGCATCGAGAATATACTGCTAACACCAGAGAAAGTTGTAGTTTTTTCAAAGAAATTGCGCCTCTCAGGGATATGCTAAAGTCGCAATGCAAAATAACAAAAGTTGCAAAAAATTGCTTCATCTTATGTCTATATAAGGAATTCAACAAAATATTGACAAAATATTGTTTCTGGGACGAAATCAAACGACTTTGACCTTTTTTGTAATTTAACGATCAAAACAAGTATACATACCATAGTACTATTTAAGCAGATATCACACAAATTCATAAAAATAATTTTTGATCGATGAAATCATTGATTATAAAACCGGAAGTTTTTCTCTGAGGTTGGTGTGAAAATATTTTGATTATTTTAAATTTTGTCGTTTATTCGATTTTGAATGCTTCTAATTGATCGTCAAATGCTTCCTATGATTTCTATTAGTAATATTTTGACTTTCCCGTTCTATAAAAAGAACATCATCACCATTTAAATGCTTCTAAATTATCTTCAAATTGTTGTATTTTGTTTACCACCAATGAAGGTGAGCAATACCTCTTTGGTATATCCCGTATATTTACATCGCAATTTACGTAATTAACCTGGGAGATAGACCCAGAAACCCCTCCTTGAAGGAGCCCTGTGTTCTTTTATGTGCACTTATACATAAACATACAAGTACACACCACAGCCTTTTGTACGAGTTGCGGACCACTCAGTCAAACACCCTGAAGTACTTCACGCAAACAAGCAAATTTAGTCTTGCCTGAACCAGGGATCGAATCTGGGACCTATTGGTAAGAGGTACCTGCGCTACCGCTGAGCTATACGGGGGGACTAATACTTACTATGATTTCTATTAGTAATATTTTGACTTCCCCATTACAAAAAAAGAACATTATCACCATTTACTCGACTTGTTAATTTACTTCCGGTCTACCAAGAAAAATCTAAATAACAAAAGTATGCATAATTCAAAAATAGAATCATCAGAGAAGGTTTTAAACCATTAAACCGACCCTAAAACCAGAAAAAAATCTTGAACCATTTTATCGGCTCTGAAGCCTTAAAGGGTGACGCATATCGTTTAGCAAATCGAACGCTCGTTTCTGGTGTTGCTCACCGTTTAGTATAAAAGGCCAGATCCCGGAATAATACTCAAGGGTTCACAGGTTCGAGGTTGTTGTGTAAACACCTCTAACTGTTATATAGCATAAGTATATTATAGATCGTCACACATTTATAAAAGGGTGATTTTTATTTTGACAAATCAATTCCACATTTATGGGTGAAGTTTCAGGATCTTCTATTTGTGTATAATAAGGAAAAATTGGCATCTAAATTTCCCCATAACGTAATAGCACACAGCTTGGCATATGAAATATCCTACAAATGAAACAAAGCAAGACAAACCGGTTTCTAAGACAAGGATTTATATTGGCTGTTGTACATGTATTCTTTGAACGCAATCACTCTTTGGATAACGTTTTCAAAATCATTATAAACGGATTATTTTATCTCAAAGACAATTTCAATAAACTGGATTTTACAGAACTCCCCTTATTTCTTAAAAGTGGACTGATCCAGTTGATTCGCCTGGAGCCGCCATATTGTTTTTATACGGGATGCTAATCGGAACCCTTTAATATTCCTGTAAACTAGAATATTGTAAGTGTAGACAGTAGAGTTGATTACCTAGTGATTTTTTCAATTTTACCAAATTACATTGATCAGTACGTGCTATGTTCTAAATAACCATTATAATGTCGTAAAATCAGAATAAAACTACCAATTCTCGTCAAGAAAAAGTCTTTCAGAGAAAATTTTTTGAACCTGATTTTGAGTGGTCTTATCAAGGAATTACCAATGATAGATATTGACTAGAAAAACTAGCTGAAGCGTTTTTGCGGTAAGTTGCGCTGTTTTGTAAAAGTTGGGCTCTGTTTTGGGTACTGAAAGTTGTGGGAATTTGTCATGCGCGCAACAATTCAACCTTCACTGGTGTCACATACTGTCTAATAGGATGTCACGGTTTCCCGATATTGTTCCGTCTCTCGGGACTTTGGTCTCGGGTTGGGACAGGACAACCCTCGGTACCGAAGATTTCAGTCCATGTTCAGGATATACTATTTCTCCTGTATATGAACCTAAAACTTCCCAAATGCACGATAAATATGATCTAAATAAACTAGAATTTTCTTTCGTTTTACAACTTATTGCCAGATTACATTCATGTGTAAATGCCATCTAGTGGCAATTACTACAAGTGATAATAATATTCAGGACAGAACATGCATAATCTTTCCCTTTGAAATATACTTTAATTTAAACAATAACAAAGAACTTCATTGGCGAGAAAGGTAACAACTAAAATTAATCTCAGATTACAAATGTTTGCACATTATGCGCAGCCCTCTTATGACGTTCAAAAGATTTGCGCTGCATAAGCATAACCGGATGTAGACGGAAAATGCAAGTGTTTAACTGTTTTAAACTTATTAGCTATTTTATTGGTTATGTCCCATCCTGTTCCAAATGTCCCGTCCCGAAATGTTTTTGTCCCCTCCTGAAATATTTTTGTCCAGTGACATCCCTACTGTCTAAGAATTGAAAAAATAACAATTTTGAGATATTTTGAAAAAAAAACAGATTGAAAATCCCAATAGCTTTTCTTGAGGGGCTATGACTATTTGAGTATTGTGACTATGTGAGTATTGACTTTGTATTTGAGAGAAAAACTAAATTTCAATATTGATACTTATGTAAACAGATTAACCTCCTACAGTATGAAAACAGGTAATAACGTGATAATTGGCAAATTAGGTTTTTTAATGGATTACAATTCAGTAAATTGGATTAACCTCCTGTAGAGGTAGGAACAAGTCTTTAAAACTTAATTGCCAAATCTTTGTGCCTGAGACTGGTAGAATGAGGAGGATTAAGAATGTCAGAACATTTTTGGTAGAATGAGGAGGATTAAGAATGTCAGATTCCTTTTTAAGTAAACCAA